GGTGACATATATTAATATTGTTTCTTCTAAATTTGACTACATGTTGTTATAATGAGAAGGGGTTCGGGATTTGGGTTAGGGTAATTTCCATCTGCAGTCTCTGGGCATGTACAAACATACCAACAAACATTAAAAACATTTAATAATGCCGTAAAAAACTAACATAAGGCTAGAGAGGAACTACAGCATGGTCACATGACTTCACTTCACCACCGCTAAGCTAAAGAGGGCTAATGTTGAGCAATAAAGGAACTACAGCACAGTCACATGACTTCACGTCACCACCGCTAAGCTAAAGGTGGCTAATGTTGACCTATAAAGGAACTACAGCACGGTCACTTGACTTCACATCACCACCGCTAAGCTAAAGGAGGCTAATGTTGGGCTATAAAGGAACTACAGCACGGTCACATGACTTCACGTCACCTCCGCTAAGCTAAAGGTGGCTAATGTTGGGCTATAAAGGAACTACAGCACGGTCACATGACTTCACGTCACCACCGCTAAGCTAAAGGTGGCTAATGTTGACCTATAAAGGAACTACAGCACGGTCACTTGACTTCACATCACCACCGCTAAGCTAAAGGAGGCTAATGTTGGGCTATAAAGGAACTACAGCACGGTCACATGACTTCACGTCACCACCGCTAAGCTAAAGGTGGCTAATGTTGGGCTATAAAGGAACTACAGCACGGTCACATGACTTCACGTCACCACCGCTAAGCTAAAGGTGGCTAATGTTGGGAAATAAAGGAACTACAGCACGGTCACCTGACTTCACGTCACCACCGCTAAGCTAAAGGCAGCTAATGTTGGAGTATAAAGGAACTACAGCACGGTCATATGACTTCACGTCACCACCGCTAAGATAAAGGAGGCTAATGTTGGGCTATAAAGGAACTACAGCACGGTCACATGACTTCACGTCACCACCGCTAAGCTAAAGGTGGCTAATGTTGGGCTATAAAGGAACTACAGCACGGTCACATGACTTCACGTCACCACCGCTAAGCTAAAGGTGGCTAATGTTGGGCTATAAAGGAACTACAGCACGGTCACATGACTTCACGTCACCACCGCTAAGCTAAAGGAGGCTAATGTTGGGCTATAAAGGAACTACAGCACGGTCACATGACTTCACGTCACCACCGCTAAGCTAAAGGAGGCTAATGTTGGGCGTGATGACGTTTAGTCGTCTCCTTTAGACACTTGTTAGCAACCTCTGTTCACCAGTGGGGTATTTACTGACGTCATGATGACTGACTGACTGATGTCCTAGAACAAACATATCTTCAGCTTGTGTTACCACAGACCTTATTACAACCAAACACTTGACTTCAAGATGATGGAACTCATAATTCTTGGGATGCTAACTCTTTTCTCGGTTTAGGACTTTTTACTGCACCACTCTCTACATGTAGACATTGTTTTATTTTACTCATATTTGAAAAAAGCTAAGTACAAAAAGATTTCTTAACAACAAAGTCCCAAACAGAGCTTAGAGCATATCACTGAATAAGATTCTATCCTGCACAGAAACATGCTGTGTGACAGGTCGTCTGCCTTTCATATCGTTTTCAGTCATAAAACCCAAAACCCAAACATGTCTTCCCTACAGTGTCCCCCCTCTCGACAAATGTCTCATGTTAACACTTTATCACAAGGTGAGTCAGTGATTTGTGAGGTGAAACTGAGCCGTCACATGGTCAGTCGGAGAGGATTATATCAGAGTCATGCGTGGGCTGCAGCTTCTCCACAGTGCAGATAAGAGAGGAGTGTTTCCCACAGGATTATAAATATAATGTTATGGTGGACACACCTCTGCACGTCTAGGGGTGAAGCTCATATTCATACATTTTCAAATTAAAGAGTCCTCTCCTGCTGATGTTCAGGTGTATATCAGTATGTAGTGTCTCTACTTTAAAGAGTCCTCTCCTGCTGATGTTCAGGTGTATATCAGTATGTAGTGTCTCTACTTTAAAGAGTCCTCTCCTGCTGATGTTCAGGTGTATATCAGTATGTAGTGTCTCTACTTTAAAGAGTCCTCTCCTGCTGATGTTCAGGTGTATATCAGTATGTAGTGTCTCTACTTTAAAGAGTCCTCTCCTGCTGATGTTCAGGTGTATATCAGTATGTAATGTCTCTACTTTAAAGAGTCCTCTCCTGCTGATGTTCAGGTGTATATCAGTATGTAGTGTCTCTACTTTAAAGAGTCCTCTCCTGCTGATATTCAGGTGTATATCAGTTTGTAGTGTCTCTACTTTAAAGAGTCCTCTCCTACTGATGTTCAGGTGTATATCAGTATGTAGTGTCTCTGCTTTAAAGAGTCCTCTCCTGCTGATGTTCAGGTGTATATCAGTATGTAGTGTCTCTACTTTAAAGAGTCCTCTCCTGCTGATGTTCAGGTGTATATCAGTATGTAATGTCTCTACTTTAAAGAGTCCTCTCCTGCTGATGTTCAGGTGTATATCAGTATGTAGTGTCTCTACTTTAAAGAGTCCTCTCCTGCTGATGTTCAGGTGTATATCAGTATGTAGTGTCTCTACTTTAAAGAGTGCTCTCCTGCTGATGTTCAGGTGTATATCAGTATGTAGTGTCTCTACTTTAAAGAGTCCTCTCCTGCTGATATTCAGGTGTATATCAGTTTGTAGTGTCTCTACTTTAAAGAGTCCTCTCCTGCTGATGTTCAGGTGTATATCAGTATGTAGTGTCTCTACTTTAAAGAGTCCTCTCCTGCTGATATTCAGGTGTATATCAGTTTGTAGTGTCTCTACTTTAAAGAGTCCTCTCCTGCTGATGTTCAGGTGTATATCAGTATGTAGTGTCTCTGCTTTAAAGAGTCCTCTCCTGCTGATGTTCAGGTGTATATCAGTATTTAGTGTCTCTACTTTAAAGAGTCCTCTCCTGCTGATGTTCAGGTGTATATCAGTATGTAGTGTCTCTACTTTAAAGAGTCCTCTCCTGCTGATGTTCAGGTGTATATCAGTATGTAGTGTCTCTACTTTAAAGAGTCCTCTCCTGCTGATGTTCAGGTGTATATCAGTATGTAGTGTCTCTACTTTAAAGAGTCCTCTCCTGCTGATGTTCAGGTGTATATCAGTATGTAGTGTCTCTACTTTAAAGAGTCCTCTCCTGCTAATGTTCAGGTGTATATCAGTATGTAGTGTCTCTACTTTAAAGAGTCCTCTCCTGCTGATGTTCAGGTGTATATCAGTATGTAGTGTCTCTACTTTAAAGAGTCCTCTCCTGCTGATGTTCAAGTGTATATCAGTATGTAGTGTCTCTACTTTAAAGAGTCCTCTCCTGCTGATGTTCAGGTGTATATCAGTATGTAGTGTCTCTACTTTAAAGAGTCCTCTCCTGCTGATGTTCAGGTGTATATCAGTATGTAGTGTCTCTACTTTAAAGAGTCCTCTCCTGCTGATGTTCAGGTGTATATCAGTATGTAGTGTCTCTACTTTAAAGAGTCCTCTCCTGCTGATGTTCAGGTGTATATCAGTATGTAGTGTCTCTACTTTAAAGAGTCCTCTCCTGCTGATGTTCAGGTGTATATCAGTATGTGGTGTCTCTACATGTCTCCATGCTTTAATGTTCAAAAAGCTCTTTGTTTTCCTCATACTGCCTGTGCTGCAGCACCTCTTTTCACCCTCTGTCTGAAACCAGAGCCCAGTCTGCTCTGATTGCTTAGCTGGCCGGCTCTGTTGTGATTAGTCAAATCACGTGTTGGAGCACTAGCCAATAGAGTGTGAGTGTTACATAAGGCACATTCACACCGCGGTACTTTTCCCACAAAGGTTCATGCGAACTTAGTTCATGAGAACTCTTTTATCGCGTTCACACCAAAAAGAGCCGCTCGAAAGTCCCTGCTAGAGAGCAGGGACTTTCGAGCGGCTCTTTTGTGAGAAAAGAGCTATATTTCTGATTGGCTGGGCGGATTGCAAACCACGCCCCGTAAAACTCCCAAAAAGTTTTGTGAAGCCGCCATTTTATTATCCTCGCATTAGCATTATTAGCATTAGCATTAGCCCAGCGCAGAAACACAGAGAGACTAACTTATGGCAACACAACATAAAACATGGGAGCGGTGGAGATGAGGAGGTGTCGGCGTTCTGGCGATTTACTCGGAAGGCTTCAGTAGAAGCTGCTGGGAGTCCCAGCAGCTTCAACTGAAGCCAGTCCCCAACTCCGGGGACTTCCGGCCGGGGACTTTGGGTGGCAGTATACGCCGTGAAGTGGTTTGCGGCCTGCCAGTAAGCCCAAAGCAGAAGAAGAAGAAGTGACGTCAGCGGCTTCATTTGCCTAATCCACCCCCAGGGACTTATTCCGGTGTGAACGCGATCTGTACTTAGTTCATGAGAACTAAAGAGTTCTCATGAACTAAGTTCTCATGAACCTTTGTGGGAAAAGTACCGCAGTGTGAATGCGCCTATAGTGATGTCACTGATGTTCACATGGACACAAACCTATAGAACACACTACAGGAGAGGGAAAATAAAGAGCAGAATCGTTTTTAAAAAAAATACATTTTAAAAAACAGCCACATTCTGGACATTCTATTTATTTTGCCATTATTTTTCCTTTGTATAAGATTGTTCTAACCGTTCAAATCCAAAGCCCATGACACACCTCAAGCTTTGCCACGCCCAAAAAAATGTTTTCCTCAATCAATAGGATTATTACTGATCCACACACACACACACACACACACACACACACACACACACACACACACACACACACACACACACACACACACACACACACACACACACACCACACACACACACACACACACAACACACACACACACACACACACACACACACACACACACACACACACACACACACACACACACACACACACACACACACACACACACACACACACACACACACACACACACACACACACACACACACACACACACACACACACACACACACACACACACACACACACACACACACACACACACACAGAGAGACACACACACCTACCTTGTCGTCATGCTGCGCCATAAGTGAGCTCCTGTGGGAGAGAAGAGATCTATTATTCATCACCTCACTGGAAAACAGCATAAAGATGACTGATACAAAATACTGTGCAAACCGATATTGGTTGCCTTTATAGAAAAGGCAGTTCTAACAACATGAAATATTTCTTTCTGAAGGTTATAATTCTTGACAAATACTGCGCTCTTAAACACTCGTTGTGGCTGTCGAGCTAATTCAAACTATTTTGCTTTTAAATCGCTGACCTCTACTGGTTTAATATGCAGCGTTTTTGTTGTAGAGTGAGCAAGCTGGGGTTTCTATTTATATTGCCATTGGACATTTTGCACTTTACATCACAGCCAGATTGTTTTATGTAGAAATAACTCATGCGCCTAAAGGACAACATGTGAGATGTAGGTGCATAGACGCTGCAGATTACAAACTTGTGGAGTAATACACTGACTAAGTACCTCACTTCAAAACATCCAATCTATCCCTTTAAAGTGCACTGTCTCTTTAATTGGTGTCCATTTACAATAAACAAATATTAAGTGCACGAGAGTCAGAGCCACAGAGCTAAGATGTAAAAAATGAAGAGCTGTTTCTTTGGATAATAGAAACCTAATGTGTTTCTAAAGACATCAATGACATGAGGAATACATGCGTCTAGGTAGAAGTGCAATAGTTCACGTTCAGGCTGAGGAGTCTGACTCTTCCTCACGTCAGACTCGTCCTCTCTCATCAGGCTAACGAGTCAGGGGGAAATCATCAGGACTAACATCAAGCATCTTAAAGAAACTGCTGCCGTTGTTATTCAGTTAGCATTCGTCTCTGATTTGGGCTTTACATTACATTACATCTCAGTGTTGCTTTCATCTGAAGCGACTTAAGTTAAGTGCAATCCACCATGAACTGTCTAACAAGTACATTAGCTTTAAAATAAGCCACACTTATTTTAAGTTGACATGCAGTCAAAACAGATGGGTTTTCAGTCTGTGACAAAGATGTGTAGGTATCTAATGGAAAGTCATTTTTTCAACACTAAAAAACACTGTCAATAGGACTTATTAAACATCTGTAGTAGCTGCATCCTCCGGTCTTGTGCATAGATGTTGTACTCCAAGGTCTTCGGTTAAAGTGCATTGTGATGCACCCTTACGGCCCGTCCACACAGCGGCGTTGGAAGAAGCTTCCAACGTGTCTGCCCATTCACTTTGAATGGGGTGACGTCACTTTTCGCCGAACTGCATTGTGGGAAGCAGAGCGGAGCTTCCCTGGCGTTTCAGGCTGCAAAAGTTGAGCAATGTTCAACTTTTGAAGCTTCTGAAGCTTTCGGTGGAAGCGTCAGCCAATCAAATCATATGCCAGTACAAGCTCTAGCCAATCAAACCGCTGCTTGTGTGTCAGGGGCGGGAGATTCATGTGATTGGTTGTTGGTCGAGCTTCAGACACGCCCAGCTCCAAGCTTTTTTTGAAGCTGTAGTGTGGACGGGCCGTTACTGTGTTAGCTACAGAGTCACCTGAAACAAGTCTATTTAATAAGCATGGAAGCAGCATAAAGAGTAGGGGTGGGGGAAATAATCGATACAGCGTAGTATCGCGATACTTTGCGTGGCGATATTGTATCGATACACGGACGCCAAGTATCGATATTTTATTATATAAACTTTTTTTTTTTTTTTTTCATATAAACTGTAGCATATCCCTCCGAAAGATGGCCGTATATAAAACAGGAAGTTACGTTAAGACATGAATACAATTGCAATGAAAGTAACAAAAACAATGCCATCTGCTTTTCAGGTTCAAAGAACACACATTGGGTTATTCACATAAACTATTATGTATGTGCAATAGGGAAAGTTCTGTACCTGTATGTTTCTTGTTTGTTTCTCTGTTCTGTATCTATGACTGATTGACCTGAATGTTTTATGTGTATTATCTAGATGCCCAAGACACATTTCTCCTAAGGGAGACAATAAAGCTCTATCTTATCTTATCTATTCATATTGCAAATACATGTTTTAACCAGGAAGGGACGACGGACATGGATATGACCCATGTGATTTGCAATATCGCAATATATCGTATCGCAATACTTAGCATATCGTAGAATCGCAATACTATCGTAGCTTAAGTATCGCAATAGTATCGTATCGCGGGGAGCCTGGTGATTCCCACCCCTAATAAAGAGTGCAACTAAATTCTGCTAATTCATTGTTTGATGGTGTTTGCTTCTGTGCCGGCCCAGAGTCTCTTGTAAGAGACTTTCAGAATCTCAATGGAGAAAATCCACGTAAAATAAAGGAGAAATAACAAATTAAAAAAAGGAAACTCTAGTTTTGAATGTTTCTTGATTCATGTTGCAGCTAAAGTCACTTATTCATTGTTTAGTCTTTACATCTGTATTTCATTCATGTCATGAAGTCTTCTTTCTCTGACCAACAGCCTTAAACCGCAAATCATTTTATATACATGGCAAGAAAGAGAAGCTGCTTTTAACAATTGAGGAGTATAAATGACTTTTAAGTACAAACCAATATTAGGATTTATACAAAAATACACCTTTATTGATAATCGTTTGTTAGTTTTTTGCCCATAGGGTGGAACATTCATGTATTTGGAATGTATGTACTTGCATCCTCCCTTTGTGTTTTCTGATATAAATAGATATGTTTACCCAGGATATAAATCAGGTGTGTAATTGATTTGTGTTTTCTGAGAGATATTTGTACCCAGGTGTGTTGTTGTTACCTGTGGATCTGGACCGAGCGATGTCTCTGATGGTCACCATGACGACCAGCAGGGCCAGCAGGAGGAAGAGGAGGCTGAATCCTCGGAGAGAGGTGAAGGCCACAAACCTTAAGGAAATAAAAGTTTCACCAACATCACAAAACAGTTGTATCAGTGCATGGCTGGTGTTTAAGGGTTTATGCAGAAGGGTAATCATTTTTTGCTTTAAAATGTTGGTGTGGAGTTTTTCATCTTTGCTGTTGGATTCTTGTTGCTGTACTAATGGACCTTCGCTGTTGAATACCATTACCATTACTGGTGAATTAATATATACAATGTTTAACACAACTGTACCATATTTTATACCATAATCGGCTGATTCCAGTGTCCAAGATTTTGGCATTTTCCCACCAATATTTCATTTTGTCTCAGCGCAGAAATGTAAACTAAATATATAGGCTATGTGGGGAAATATTTTCCAAGGCCCATAACTGTGACCCAGCTTATCAGTTCAAACTGTCCTCACTGAGCACACGCACCTGTAACCTTGGCTGCTGTGCTCTCAGTGTTTTGTCTCCCTGTTCCTGCCTGTTGGCGTCAGCTGATAGAGGTGTTATCATTCTATCTTGTTATGAAGCATGTTGATGATGCTCTCTGAACTAGACACATGGGTCTGGGGTAGAGTTCTTCAGAATTGGTTTGGCATCTCAACCTGTGACAACTCGTGGCTCATGACCTGTCTTGTGAATTCTCCGGCCGAAGCTCCAAATAAACCGTCAGTGTTTGCCATCAAAGCTCCAGCTCTCCTCGTGTCTCTCTGAGTCCTGACTCCCATTGCTTCAGACGTTTCCCCCACAGGCTATAGACTCAGAGTATATAGGCTACATTGGAATATCATTTTTAAAATATACGTAATGACAAGAAATGTAATACTCCAGAACTAACAGGATAAATCGTGTCAAATATTAACAAACACCTGATATGTTTAAAGTTATAGGCCCAATGAAGTGGCACCATAACATAGAAAGAATAACATTTATTTTGGTCAATATTGGTTGATATTAAAGGAACTGAAAAAGGAAACCCATTGTAACCATTTAAAACATTATTATGGGAGGAAAAAACAAGATCTGTAGACTTCATTTAAAATAATAAACACTATGCGTTAACGTTAAACCTTTTAACCATTTCATTTTAAAATTGTATAATAGTTGTTCTTTTATTACCACCTCATTTCTTACTGTGTTCATATATGCACCATTATACACCAAAGCAAATTCCGTGCATGTGTACTTGGCAATAAAACTGTTTCTGATTTTTAATATTATGATATTTTTCTGAGGTTTGGGGTCATTTTCGGATTTGTAATTAGGTAGATCATTTGTTTATATATCATTTGTAAGTCAATAATATTGTTGTTTATCAAATTGATACTGCATACGTTTGTACAGTATCATAATTCTCATTTAATTATTATTATTTATTATTTGTATGTGCAATATGTACAATATTATATATATATATATGCCGTTAATAACTGTGTATATATACCTGGCTGCTAAATCCTCAGGACTGTTACAGGATGTGTTTTTTGTAAATTTTGTAACTTTTTTTATTATAATTTGTTTTAATCTTTAATACTTTTGTATGCTTGCTTCTTAGGTAACATTAAGCTGTCTTTGGCTCTTTTCTGCTGTAATAATGTAAATGTCCCCTCTGTGGGACTAATAAAGGTATTCTGATTCTGTATGATAATTCTCATTTCATTGTTATTATTATTTTTTGTATTATTATTGTTTTACACGTTCGACATAAATCCAAATCAAATCAAATCCAATTATAATTTTCCCTGCAGTCCTAGAGTTGTGAGGAATATCCCTGCGTCATGGTTCCTACCAGATCACCGCGTTGGCTGCAGCGAGCAGAGCTGAGGTCCTGCACGGTCTCTGCCTCCAGTTCACCAGGCCGGAGAGACGACTTCCTCCGCGGCCGGACAGCGGCTCCTCGCCTCGCTCTCCCCAGATCATAGGCACCACCGGCCGGGCAGATGCCTCCCCGCAGCCCACTGTTCCTGGTTCCCGGTTCCCCAGCATCGGAAGACTCCCCGGGGCCCCTCGCTCTCTGCCGCTCCTCCAGCAGAGAACCGGTGTCAAGCTCACAGCAGGGGGTATCATAGCAGTTCTGGTGCTGGATTTTCAAAATAAAAGTCACACAATTGAAACAACAATTAAAATGTACTGTTGTTTATTAGTGTTGGGAAGCGGCAGAGGTGGGAGAAGTAGGCTACTTGAGTAAAAGGAGAAGTACTCAGATCTTGTACTTGAGTAAAAGTAGAAGTACTCAGATATTGTACTTGAGTAAAAGTAGAAGTATCAGAGTATAGAAATACTCTGTTAAAGTACTGCATTCAAAATGTTACTCAAGTAAAAGTAGAAGTATCAGAGTATAGGAATACTCTGTTAAAGTACTGCATTCAAAATGTTACTCAAGTAAAAGTAGAAGTATCAGAGTATAGGAATACCCTGTTAAAGTACTGCATTCAAAATGTTACTCAAGTAAAAGTAGAAAAGTATTATCATCAAAATATAGTTAAAGTAGCGACAGTAAAAGTAGTCATTGTGCAGATTGGTCCATTTCAGAATAATATATCTGATATGTTTTATAATTATTGATTATTGAGTGTTATCAAAGATGTGGAGGTGCAGCTAGTTGTAATCACGTCTGAACACTGTAAAGTATTTCACTAAAACATGTTTTGAAATGACAATAAAGGCTCCTTGACAAGCCCACACTCCTCAAAAGGATAAACAGATACAATATAATTGATAGGATAAGACGGGATAAAAACACAATACCTTCCAAAAAAACTATTACAAAAACTATCTTTGACACAAACCTATGATTAGTTGCTGGTTTTCTCTCAAAATGAACATAGATAAAGTAAACACCTACAGTAGAATAATAATTGTAGTAAATTGCATTTCAGAGACTGTAATGGTAGTTTTCCATTTTATATGATGTGTTTTATTTTGAAATTCAGATTAGCCACATATCCTCTCTTGTTGTGTCCAATTCTTTCTGACTTGAAGCCTTCAGCTGATTATTGACTGTGTGTGTGTGTGTGTGTGTGTGTGTGTGTGTGTGTGTGTGTGTGTGTGTGTGTGTGTGTGTCTTTGTGTGTGTCTTTGTGTGTGTTTAATGGAATGTGACATTTGTTTTGTGCCATGACCAACCATGGAATATGTTGTTTTTTGTTGGTTAAAGTGTATTATTAATGTATTATTTCAGTGATATTTCCTGACCGAGAACTAGCTAACTTGTTTATTTTATTTGCTTTTGTACTATCTGGAGCTTTATACCATTATAATGAACTCTGAGAGAACTGATATGAACCCTCTGTTATCTGAAGAAGCAATGGAGAAGCATGCTTCACATAACTGGATGAAACTCCAACAAATCTGCATCCCTCACTTCTTTAAAATCAAGACTGAAGACTTGTCTGTTTGCTGCTGCATTTTATTAAATCAAAAAACTATTATCTACCAGTTGTATTCTTGTATTTAATGCATGTCTTACTCTGTGGTTGTTTTAATGGTATTTTCTTGACTTAACGACTGTTTTTAAATGTATATAACGGCAATCTTAATGTGTTTGCATTGTGTTGAAATGTGCTGTATAAATAAAGTTGCATTGCATTGAATAATTTTCTGGTTGGAGCCAAAAATTGCAGTTTATTCTTGATTGTTCAAACTAGAGTGTGTTGTCAGGCAGGAGTAGTTGGACAAGGCCGAGGTAACATTTTGACTGGTCAGATATTGCAATTATTAAGCCAAATACTTCAGTACGCAGATTTCTGGTCACGATCCTGGAATTTGCTCTTTGCCATTTTTACATTACATGACATTTGGCTTGTTTCCAAAGCGACTGCAACCAAAGTGCAATAAACTATGAAGATACCACTGTCAGTGCATACGTTTCAACTATAGGCTTAACTCTTAAGTGGTGGCTTTTTTAGTTTGCAACACAATTTGCCAAGTGCAACTCTGAAACCCAATGGTCGCACAATGAACAAAAACACATTATGCAGAAACAGGAACCAGACAATGTTTGATTTAGTAATGCACTTTAAAGTCAGATCATTGAAGATGGACTTAACTTAAAATAGGATGATAGCTAGATAGATATGCAGCCTGTGTGTGGGAGAGGCTGTATAGAAAGACTCCAAGAAGAAGAGTAAAATGAACCGGTCTTGGGAAGTTACGGCAAAAACAAGGAACTGTTTTTGTTTTGTATCAAGATCTGAGCTAAGTGCCAAATTGTGCACACACACACACACACACACACACACACACACACACACACACACACACACACACACACACACACACTTAAACATTATCATGCACTCATTCTTGTTTTGTTGAACATACCGTTACATCTATGTGTGTGTGTGTGTGTGTGTGTGTGTGTGTGTGTGTGTGTGTGTGTGTGTGTGTGTGTGTGTGTGTGAGTGTGTGTGTGTGTGTTGTGTGTGTGTGTGTGTGTGTGTGTGTGTGTGTGTGTGTTAGCCACTAATTGGACTGAATTTCACTGAACAACAAAAGATCAGGCTCGAAAATTCCAGCTCTGGTTTGTACAGGCTTTGCTTTGTTGTCCCTTGGCTTTCTGTCTCTTCTAATGCTGTGTTAACAGTATATCTATCTCTCTCTCTACTCTCTCTCTCTCTCTCTCTCTCTCTCTCTCTCTCTCTCTCTCTCTCTCTCTCTCTCTCTCTCTCTCTCTCTCTCTCTCTCTCTCTGTGTTTCTTTCAATCTCTCTCTCTCGTTTTATTTTTCTTTCACGCGGCCCATGAAAGGTTTTTTTTTTGTTGCCCCAAACGAAGCACCGTTACCCAAACTGCTCAGAGGCCAGAACTCACGAGGGACTTCCCTCATCAACTCCCGAATATCTCTCCCTCGCACACACACACACACATTAACACACACACATTTCAGGAGCCTGTTGGACGGCCACAATGAACCCCGGACCTTCATTGGAGTGGACCGTTGCCACCGTCTCCATCTATAGGAAACTCTCTGTGTCGCTCGGTGCTGATCCTGGACTGGAGCTTCCTGTTTGGTCTTTCTGTTGATGTTGAGGGACGGATAGATCTCGGAGGAAAGGATGATGATTGAGCTGCAAAGCCCGGATGATAGAGGAGGAGGAGGAGGAGGAGGAGGAGGAGGGAGGAGGAGGAGGAGGAGGAGGAGGAGGAGGAGGAGGAGGAGGAGGAGGAGGAGGAGGAGGAGGAGGAGGAGGAGGAGGCGTTGGGTACTTGGACATACTGAGCACAGAGGAGTTTGAGTGTAAGATCTGCTACTGCGCCTACAATCTGAACAGCCGCCGTCCGAAAGCGCTCGATTGCTGCCACCGTCTTTGCGCCAAATGTCTCACCAAGATCCTTGACCTTGGTGAGTCGCCTCCGAACGTTCTGGTGTGTCCGTTCTGCCGATACGTCACCAGACTACCTGGGCAGGAAGTGAGCAGCCTGCCAGATGATTGCAACCTGTTGGCAGCGCTGTCTCACCGAAGCAGGAACCAGAGGAACCTCCACTTCCACCAGGAGGCGACGACAGAACTGCTCCTCAACCCCCGGCGCCTCAACTCTCTGATGGGAAGTAATCTACCCATGACATCCCCTTTCTCCTCCTCCTCTTTGTCCTCGTCTTCTTCTTCTTCTTCCTCCTCCACCACTTACTCCTCCATACGAGGGTCCTCTAACTTTGTGGTGATCACCATCATGGAGCCGCCGCCGCCAATACCCACATCCAACCGAGGAGAAGTCCACCATCACGGATCGGACTACCGCTCCTCCAGCGTGGACTCCATGGCGTCCATCACTCAGAGGTGGACGATGTGGAATTGTGCCGCCCTGCTTTGTCAAACCTCCGCCCGAGCTTTGGTGTGGGTTTTGGGGTTGCTGTACTTCAGCTCGCTGCCCATGGGGTCTACCTGCTCATCATGCAGAAGACCACGGTCGGAGTCCTGCTGGTGAGCCTGGTTCCCGCCAGCCTGGTCATAATCATGGTCTATGGACTGTGCCAGTGTATCTGCCACGAGCTGTGGGACTGCATGCCTCCATAATGGGAAGCACATGAATGAAGGGAGTTTAATGGGTTTGTGTTAGAAAAATGTTACTCGTCACCGGCTTGAGCTTCAATATCAGGATCCATGTATTTATGATCCTCTCAAGAATGGAAGTAGTCATCACATATAGAGCATCAACTAGTTCCTGAACAGTGTCCTTCACATGCTGATATCCAAGAGAGGGAGTTACACAGTCACAAGATGGAGGAATGCCGGGTCTTCTAGGTATCACACATTCTGTCATGTTCAAATATTGATTTTTTTTCTCAAAATATTGGCTTTTTTCTTAAAATCTCAACATTCTGACTTTTTCTCAAATTGCTGACTTTTTTTCAATTTCTCAAAATTCTGACTTTTTTTCGGAATCTCAAAATTCTGACCTTTTCTCAAAATTCTGACTTTTTCTCAAAGTTCTAACTTTTTCTCAAAATCCCCAAATCATGTATTTTTCTCAAAATCATGTATTTTCTTTTCAAAATTCTGACTTTTTCTCAAAATCCTGATTTTTTTCTTAATACTTAAAGATGTTAATACTCCCTGGTCCCCGGCTTGAGCTTCAATCTCAGGATCCATGTATCTGTGATCCTCTCCAGAATGGAAGTAGTCATCACATACAGAGCATCAACTAGTTCCTGAACAGTGTCCTTCACATGCTGATATCCAAGAGAGGGAGTTACACAGTCACAAGATGGAGGAATAGAAAGCAGTATTCAATGTTTACATCAGATTAGCTCCACGTCAGAAATGAGCATGCTTGTCATATGTGTATCTCCATAGAGGCTGAATCATCATGTTAATCACATAGCTATCATATGCCTCAAACAGTCCTGATGCTCTTCTAGGTAATCATACATCCTGTCATGTTCACAGCTACAGTTGGGATACCTTTGTTATCATGTGTACTCTGATACTGGAAGAGTTCATTCACTATGTTTTGCTTAGCTAGACAATGGGTCTCCAGAGTTCACTAATGGGGACGTTACCATGTAACTGACCATGCAAACGCTTCAATAGCAGAACAAAAAAAATGCTCCTTTTCTTTATGGGAGATTATGTACATTACAAATGGAGTTTAGAGCGTTTTCATTGTTATACATGTTCATTTGTGCTAATATGTTTAGCTTGGTAGCCGATTAATCTGCTACGTGCACAGTCACTTTCGCATTCTGTGTAATACTGCTCGTCTGTTTCCGGTTACAAGATGACAACCTTTTATATCCGCTTGAAAAGCTCTTGAAAATCAACATTTCCGATGTTCATCGAATTTGCCTGACGCCAGGAAACTGGAAAAAGCCTTTTTTCTCCGTCGTTCATTTGTGCTAATTAGTTTAGCTTGGTAGCCGACCTTTTACACCCGCTTCCTACAGGAGCTCCTGAAAATCAACATTTCCGATGTTCATCGAATTTGCCAGGCTACTAAAGCCCCAGCCAGAAAACTGGACAAAGGCTTCAAATGATATCCAGCATCATATATACACAACTATGAAGAACAGAAAACCACTATTTCCGCATCGAGTGGCGCTAACCAGCTAACGCTAGCATACGCTGGCTAACGTCTAGAGTACTTTTTCTCCTGTCTTGGAAAATATTCCGTCGCTTGTGTTAAAATAAACTTTTAAACTAAATCACAGCCAGTTTAAAAGGACACTCTTCAGAGCAGTTTTACGGTGTGTTGGGACTGTGAGTACGTCAGAGACCCTCGTGCAAATAGCGTATTAAAGTTCAAAGTGTCAGACTTCGCTACGAGGTAACTTAGTGTCAAAATGTAACTAACAGATATCAACATGAAACTTTCCCAGTTGATTACCGACATAAAGAGAAATAGTTTTTGTATTACAAGTTTTCTGAAATGTCATGTTTGAATATGCAAATGAGGGATTATCTAATTAAATGTGTGTTGATTTGCATCTATTTACATTGTATTAAATCTGGGTTTAAAACTCTTGTTTCATTTTGTTGACATATGAGAGTAACGCAATGTTTTTGGAATAAAATCTTCAATAAATCAGGTTGTGTGACTTTTTTTGTAGAGGTTTGGTGAATGTATGTGCGTCTGAAGCAGAGATTAATATGAATTAACATACATATGCAAATGATATAATTTAATGCTATTGGTGAATTAAGGGAACATGCAAATAACGAAAGTTAGTGGGATAAACACCTAATTAAGTAAAAGTTTGGGAGTAAAATAGCAACAAAAAATGTATTGGGTTTTTTGCTTGGGCTATCTCGTCTTATTGCCATTTCTGGTGAAATCTGCTAAATAAATGTGTGTGGATGAGAAAAACAAGACGCTTTGGCAGGTCATTCTGGTCATTTTTAATCAGAGCACAGGTTGCAAAGTTCTTCATACAATGCAGCAAATTAAAATCAACATACTGTAAAATAATAACAAATGTTGAGTAAACTGATTTCACCAATTCACGTAAGATTGGAGAAATGGAGAGAAAAGTCAAATAAAGGCAAGAAATTCTCTATTAAAATGTTTAGGTGGATATTTGTCAGAATGCCTGATTTCCTCAGACAGATCCATCTTAGTATGCAGCAAAATACATTTAGCAATAATGGAAAGCCATGTATGAGATCTTAAAACTTGCTGCTAGCCAGTGTATGATGCTAAAAAGGTGATATTTATAACGTCATGTTCTGGTTTAATGTCTGGAAACTGAAATAATTCTTATTCAAACATATCTGAAATTTGCTTTAAGGAGTTTTTTCTAGAAAGTTCATTTTGATTAAACACTACTTTGTTTAGTTCAGTCTATATTGAAGAGTATACTCATATCTTGCTCTGTGATGAGTTTGAGCCTGAACCACCAGAGGGGGCTAATGTCCTCTGCCTCTTTATGTCTAAGAACATAGAAATCAAATCAAATCAGTGTTGTTGGAGAACTCCAGACTTTACATGTCAGAAAAAATCCAACATGCTTCAAGTCTCACACTATCCATTCAAATGATGAAACAAATGCAGCAGGAGTGTTTACACAAATCATTTGAAAGTCAAATTAAACTTTAATGCTGTTATTACACGACTTACTGGGAGAAACAAATAGCTGTGAGCACTTCTACCACTCTTTGTGTTTGTAATAGTTGCTAATTGATCATTCATTAGTGGCAATAAGGCACACATTAATAAAGAGACCATGTTATTGCAAGATAAACTGTTATAATACATTATTTAAATGTAAATGTTGTGCTTCAACATACCTTATTAATAGAGTTTGAATGTAAAATAAACAACAGTCAGAGCCTTTTCTACTAAGATATGCAAATATGTAAAACTCGGGAAACTCTGCAGCATTATAGTGTTTTTTCGTCGTTAAATAAATAAGAAGGCCCCTTTATGCTTTAGGGTTGTTCCCTTATGTAGTGTGTTATATAGGTTTGTGTGCATGTAAATGGTTTGCAAAGGCTACAATTCCTTATCTCCAGAGGGAGTTTCTCTCCCTCACACTCCCTTCCCCCCCTTCCTGAAACGCCTCCATTGGACTCCTTTGTTTACTTCCTGAACATAGTGACATCGCTATTTAACACTCCGGATCCTATTTGGCTAGTGCTCCAACGCATTGTTCGTGCTGAGGGGCAGGACATATCTAAGCGGTTGACCAATCACAACAGAGCCGGCCAGCTAACCAATCTGGTTTCAGACAGAGGGTGAAAATAGGTGCTGCAGCACAGACAGGATGAGAAAAATAAAGACCTTTTTGAACATTAAAGCATGGAGACAGGTAGAGACACTACATACTGATATACACCTGAACATCAGCAGGAGAGGATTCTTTAAAGTAGAGACACTACATTACATTACATTGCATTTAGCTGACGCTTTTATCCAAAGCGACTTACAATAAGTGCGTTCGACCAACAAAATACAAACTTGAGGAAAACAGAATCATATAAGTACATCAGGTTTCATAGAGCAAAAACATTTCAAGTGCTACTCAACTGGCTTTAGATAAGCCAGCCCTTTATTAGTATATAAGTGCTTTGTTAATAGTTCTATCGCTCGAAGTGGAGTCGAAAGAGATGAGTTTTCAGTCTGCGCCGGAAGGTGTGTAAGCTATCTGCTGTCCTGATGTCAATGGGGAGCTCATTCCACCATTTAGGAGCCAGGATAGCAAACCCACGTGTTTTTGCTGATTGGAACTTGGGTCCCCCTCGCAGCGAGGGTGCAGCGAGCTGTTTGGTTGATGCAGAGCGGAGTGCACGTGCTGGGGTGTACAGTTTAACCATGTCCTGGATGTAGGTAGGGCCAGATCCATTCGCAGCATGGTACGCAAGTACCATTGTCTTGAAGTGGATTCTAGCAGTTACCGGAAGCCAGTGAAGGGAGCGGAGGAGCGGAGTGGTGTGGGAGAATTTAGGAAGGTTGAAGACCAGACGAGCAGCTGCATTCTGGATGAGCTGCAGAGGTCGGATGGCACATGCAGGTAGACCAGCCAGGAGGGGAGTTGCAGTAGTCTAGGCATGAGATGACGAGAGCCTGGACCAGAACCTGAGTCGCTTTCTGTGTCAGCTGGGGACGCATCCTCCTGATGTTGTAAAGCGTGTATCTGCAGCAGCGGGTTGTAGCAGCGATGTTTGCAGTGAAGGACAGGTTGTTATCTAGGGTCACACCCAGATTCCTTGCAGTCTGAGTCGGGGAAACAACAGAGGTGCCAATGTTGATTGTTAGGTCAAGAGTGGGACAATCTTTTCCCGGAAGGAAGAGCAGCTCAGTCTTGTCAAGGTTGAGCTTGAGGTGATGATCAGACATCCACTGAGAGATGTCAGCTAGACAAGCAGAGATGCGTGCGACGACCTGGGTCTCTGAGCGGGGAAAGGACAGAATTAATTGGGTGTCATCAGCGTAGCAGTGGTAAGAAAAAACATGCGGGCTAATGACTGATCCGAGCGAGTTTGTGTACAAGAAGAAGAGGAGGGGACCAAGAGCAGAGCCCTGAGGGACCCCTGTAGTTAATTGACAAGGGTCGGACTTGGACCCTCTCCAAGTAACCCTGTAGGTGCGGTCTTTGATGAGGTGAGGAGGGAAAGTGCAGAGCCTGAAACTCCAAGTTCTTGGAGAGTGCGAAGGAGGATCTGATGATTCACCGTGTCGAATGCAGCAGACAGGTCCAAAAGGATGATGAAAGAGGAGAGGGAGGCTACTTTAGCAGTGTGCAGTTCCTCAGTGACAGCAAGGAGGGCAGTTTCTGTGGAGTGACCTGCCTTGAAACCAGACTGGTGCGGATCCAGAAGGTTGTTCTGATGGAGATAACAGGAGAGTTGTTTAAAGACAGCGCGTTCAAGTGTTTTAGACAGGAACGGGAGGAGAGAGACAGGCCTGTAGTTTATAACATCAGACGGGTTGAGAGTGGGTTTCTTTAGGAGAGGGTTTACTCTTGCCTCCTTGAGACTGTTTGGAAAGTGACCAGAAGTTAGAGAAGTGTTGATGAAATGGGTGAGAAACGGTAGAATATCAGGAGCGATAGTCTGAAGGAGGTTTGAGGGGATAGGGTCCAGAGGACAGGTGGTAGGGCGGGCAGAGGTAATGAGGGTAAGAACCTCACTTGGAGAGAGAGGGGAAAAGGAGGTTAGTGTGTTGGTGGAAGGAGGGTCTGGTGACCCAGTGGTGAGTAGAGGTGAGTCAGAAAAAGAAGAGCGAATATCATCAACCTTTTTTTCAAAGTGGGTAACAAAGTCGCTTGACAGAAGTGAGGAGGGGGGAGGAGCTTTTGGAGGGTCCAAGAGGGTGGAGAAGATGGAAAATAGTTTTTTGGGATTGGAATAGGAAGATTGGATCTTATCTTGAAAGAAAGTGCTTTTTGCCTGAGAGATTGAAGCAGAGAAAGAGGAGAGGAGAGCCTGATAGGTTAGGAGGTCGTCACGGTGTTTGGATTTCCACCATTTACGCTCTGCTGCCCTAAGGACGGTTCTATTAGCACGCAGTGCGTCATTTAGCCAGGGAGCAGGAGGGGACTGACAAGCCTGCCGAGATGTAATAGGACAGAGAGAGTCCAGAGAGGATGAGAGAGTAGAGAGGAAAGTTTCTGCAGCAGAGTTTGGAGGCAGCAGTTGGAACGAGTCCGAGGAAGGGAGGGCTGAGAGCAGCGATGAGGCAAAGGTAGAGGGGGAGAGGGAGCGAAGGTTATGGCGGACAGGTGCAGGATGAGAAGAGACTACATACTGATACACACCTGAACATCAGCAGGAGAGGACTCTTTAAAGTAGAGACACTACATACTGATATACATCTGAACATCAGCAGGAGAGGACTCTTTAAAGTAGAGACACTACATACTGATACACACCTGAACATCAGCAGGAGAGGACTCTTTAAAGTAGAGACACTACATACTGATATACACCTGAACATCAGCAGGAGAGGACTCTTTAAAGTAGAGACACTACACACTGATATACACCTGAACATCAGCAGGAGAGGACTCTTTAAAGTAGAGACACTACATACTGATATACACCTGAACATCAGCAGGAGAGGACTCTTTAAAGTAGAGACACTACATACTGATATACACCTGAACATCAGCAGGAGAGCACTCTTTAAAGTAGACACACTACATACTGATATACACCTGAACATCAGCAGGAGAGGACTCTTTAAAGCAGAGACACTACATACTGACCTGAACATAAGCAGGAGAGGACTCTTTAAAGTAGAGACACTACATACTGATATACACCTGAACATCAGCAGGAGAGGACTCTTTAAAGTAGAGACACTACATACTGATATACACCTGAAACATAAGCAGGAGAGGACTCTTTAAAGTAGAGACACTACATACTGATATACACCTGAACATCAGCAGGAGAGGACTCTTTAAAGTAGAGACACTACATACTGATATACACCTGAACATAAGCAGGAGAGGACTCTTTAAAGTAGAGACACTACATACTGATACACACCTGAACATCAGCAGGAGAGGACTCTTTAAAGTAGAGACACTACATACTGATATACACCTGAACATCAGCAGGAGAGGACTCTTTAAAGTAGAGACACTACATACTGATATACACCTGAACATCAGCAGGAGAGGACTCTTTAAAGTAGAGACACTACATACTGATATACACCTGAACATCAGCAGGAGAGGACTCTTTAAAGTAGAGACACTACATACTGATATACACCTGAACATCAGCAGGAGAGGACTCTTTAAAGTAGAGACACCACATACTGATATACACCTGAACATCAGCAGGAGAGGACTCTTTAACGTAGACACTACATACTGATATACACCTGAACATCAGCAGGAGAGGACTCTTTAAAGTAGAGACACTACATACTGATATACACCTGAACATCAGCAGGAGAGGACTCTTTAACGTAGACACTACATACTGATATACACCTGAACATCAGCAGGAGAGGACTCTTTAAAGTAGAGACACTACATACTGATATACACCTGAACATCAGCAGGAGAGGACTCTTTAAAGTAGAGACACTACATACTGATATACACCTGAACATCAGCACGAGAGGACTCTTTAAGTAGAGACACTACATACTGATATACACCTGAACATCAGCAGGAGAGGACTCTTTAACGTAGAGACACTACATACTGATATACACCTGAACATCAGCAACGAGAGGACTCTTTAAAGTAGAGACACTACATACTGATATACACCTGAACATCAGCAGGAGAGGACTCTTTAACGTAGACACCTACATACTGATATACACCTGAACATCAGCAGGGAGAGGACTCTTTAAAGTAGAGACACTACATGCTGATATACACCTGAACATCAGCAGGAGAGGACTCTTTAACGTAGAGACACTACATACTGATATACACCTGAACATCAGCAGGAGAGGACTCTTTAAAGTAGAAACACTACATACTGATATACACCTGAACATCAGCAGGAGAGGACTCTTTAAAGTAGAGACACTACATACTGATATACACCTGAACATCAGCAGGAGAGGACTCTTTAACGTAGAGACACTACATACTGATATACACCTGAACATCAGCAGGAGAGGACTCTTTAAAGTAGAAACACTACATACTGATATACACCTGAACATCAGCAGGAGAGGACTCTTTAACGTAGACACTACATACTGATATACACCTGAACATCAGCAGGAGAGGACTCTTTAAAGTAGAGACACTACATACTGATATACACCTGAACATCAGCAGGAGAGGACTCTTTAAAGTAGTGACACTACATGAACCTGAACATGAGTATAATATGTCCTATTTAAGTTATTACCTAATATTTTTGTACATGTTTTGAACTATTTCCTCCCTCTCTGTCATGATGCTGTCCACGCAGGATATAAAACAAACAGCAAGGATGTTTTCCAAGAACACTTTGTCCTGCTTGGCTTCTCAAACATTTGTCTTGCCGATGATAAACAGCCGTCTACCCTTTGTGTTTTCCAGAGGACTCGGAGTCTGAGTCTGAGCGAGTCTTCCCTACAGGGACAGCAACATCATTCCAGATTCCTCCTCAGTGATGCAATGAACATTCCCACATGTTGCTGTGAGGAACTTTCACAGGAAGTAACCTCCTCCAGTCTGTTACCACTGATCAGAGCTGTTGGAGACAAAAACAACATGCTGTTCTCAACCTGGGGTTTGGGACCCCCCAAGAGGGTCGCAAGAGAACTTCTGGGGGTCGCCAGATTATACTTGCCTATAGTGATGATATCATTTGTCTAAGAATATTGTATTTGAGAAACAAAAGCTCCCCTAATTATGCCCTACTCATCTAACAGTTACAGCACACAAGTCCACTTGCTTTGCTACGGTTCTTACACTGAATATATGGCAAAAATATTTAGATAAAGAACATTAAAATACGTGCCAGCCTTACCATGCATCTACTGCTAGTGATAACTTAATTTAAAGGGGGTTGCAATCACCAACCTGATTCTTTTTCTGTGACTTGAAAAGGTTGAGAAGGTTAATTTCAGTCACTGACAATCATAATATTATTTGTTAATAATAATAATAATAATAGCTTCGATTTCTATAGCGCCTTTCAGGGGACCCAAGGTCGCTTCACAAGTAATAGTGCAAAGACAAACATAACAAAACAAAAGACAGACAAACAGAACAACAGATCGATTTAGGGGCCGAAAGCCTTGGCAAACAGATGGGACTTGAGGGCCCTTTTGAAGGCTTCAAGTGAGGGGATGTTGCGTATCTCCGCAGGGAGAGCGTTCCAGAGGGTGGGGGCTGCCACACTGAAGGCTCTGTCCCCGTAAATGATGCTGTATTTATTGATGTATTGCATTATGGTGGGATGTTACAATTAAGGAAACCACTAGTAGGGCTGGATAATCAACCAACCATATCCTAAGATTCAGAGTGTTAATTAGTTTAAGGCTTATTTGATCAGTTGTCAATTAATATGGTAATTTTCTCGACCGCACTCTGGGTCCCTTCCCATTAGTTATGCCAAAGCTTCATAGGGGGTCACGTTGATTTTAAGGGGTGCAACAAAACATACATTTTATTTAATTCATGTTATTAATTTCTCGTCCTTAGTTGCTATTCCAGAGGTTCTATATTCTCTTTCTGTTAAAGTGCTGAAGCAATTTTGTGCTTTGTGATATTCTGGCTTGAAAAATAGAGTTATATAATATTTTTAGCATGACAAATTGCTTGTCCTTGGATGTTAAAATGTTGAGGTACTTGTACACAGTAATATGCTACTTGATGCAACAATGTTATCTAGAAAGTTCACCTATATAAGAATAATTATATACACACACATAAAGACTGTTTGTACTATTACTTGTAATACTTTAAGTACATTTAGCTGATAATACTTTTACTTAAGTAAGATTTTGCATGCAGGACTTCTTGCAATGAAGAATGTTGACAATAATGTATTGGTACTTTTACTAAAGTTAAGCAACTGAAACTTATTACACTATTGATTTTATATTATATTTCTTTATTTCACATTCCCCATAGGTAGGGAGAGCTGCTCTCAGCCAATCAGATTCGCGGATATCGCTCCGACAACAAACAAAAGATCGAGGCTAGCTGAGCTCATTACACTCGGTCCGTCTCTACGCAACATAACTGCTCTCCTACCTTCCTACGTCGACCAACTCTTCTGTATTTCATCCACTCTCAGTCTCCTTCTAGTGTCTATATATATGTGGCTTTGTATCAGCTAATGTCAACCTGAGCCGAGCGCTTTGCCTTTTGCTGAACGGGTTAGCCACCAGGTTAGCTTCTCGGCTAACCAGGAGCTAGTTAGCTGGGCATGCTAGGTAGCTTAGCCTGCTATTCAGCTTAACCCGTACAAACCAACAGAGACAGTTAGCTTAGCATGCTAGTTATATTAGCTTGCTAGTTAGCATCTCCCCTACGAACCAGTTAGCTTATCCCATACGAACCAGTGGAGCCAATTAGCTTAGCTTTTGCTAACAAAACTCCATTTAAAAACACTCGATACTGACCGACACAAGTGGATTTGGCTTGTTTTCCGACAAGCCATTTAAAGAGTGAATCTTCGTGATGTCTGGACAGTCGTCGGGGGGCTGTGGGTTCCTGATGTCGGTTGTTGTCCACGGAGACTCTGCTCTGAACGACCAGGAGAAGGAGCTCAACCAGCGGCTCCGACGGCTCTACCCGGCCGTAAATGAGACGGAGACTCCGCTGCCCCGATCCTGGAGCCCGAAGGACAAGTTCAGCTACATCGGGCTCTCACAGAACAACCTCCGTGTGCACTATAAAGGTAATGACACGAAGACAAACGCTGCGTTTAAAGCACTTTTATTATTATCCTCCCCTTCCTCCAATGCTAATGTTAGCTTAGCTTGACAGTTAGCGGACCAACCGTCAAAGCTAACCGTTGGGGCTAAAAACAAACTAGATATGATCAGATAAGTTGGACCGTTATTAATTCCCGTATGGAAACTAACGTATCATAGCAGCAAAAATAATAAGAAAGAAACATACATAGTTAAAATGGAATATAACGCACTTTTATCCCCCCACCCCATTGCTAACGTTAGCTTAGCTTGACGTGGCTAAAAACAAAGTAGGCTAGTGGCTTCATCAACAACAAGGCAGAGGACATCTTGCAACCCGACCAGCTGGCGAGGTTTTATCCACAGCCTAAAACTGACCTACTAGCTCGTTAGCTTCCCCGCTACCTTGTTAATAAAGTTAGACTAGACCAGTCTGTCCTAAAATTAAATACATAGCAAAATCCCAGATATAATGTACGCTAAAGGGTATTCGAGTTTCTATACAGTGGTTGTGATGTTCTGCTAAATGTTTGTTTTCCTTGTGTCGTGTATGTGTCCTTGTTTGATGTTGCAAATGGAGCTGCTGTGATGCAAGTAAAAGGTTTGACAAATGACTGACAGTGAATTAGTATCGTATAAAGTGTCATCCTGAAGCTATAACGACGGATGTCATGTCAAACAAACACATAACGTGTAGGTGTAGAAGCACCCATAAGTCACATAATCAAGCCGAAATAGACATGAGCTACACATCCCTTTTGGTTGGCTAATGTAGCATTATTAGGTAATTACATGACAGGAAATACACAGTGTCGAATATCCCGATTGGCTTCAATTACTCCAATGAATTGCTAGGCTACCAGTGAAGTAGTTATAGATGACATGACAGGCAAATATAGTCGTTTGCTGCTGAGGTTTTAATATCAAGTGACATCCGGGCTGATTAGCAAAGCTATCAAGAGGGTTTTTGTTGCAGGCCTACAAGAAAAGGATAGAGTTAATACAAATCTGTGCTTCCTGGGTGTGTTCTACTATTCTGGGTCTGACCAGGCCCACTACGCACACTCTTCCTTCTTGACGACTAGAATGTTCTGCCTCTATACAACAGATTTATTTAATAGCAGGTACACAGGTATTGTGTAATGTTAGCCTTCAAACACTGCAAACTGTTAGGCATTCGTTGGAAGGACATCTGAGTCATTTTACTTAAATAAACAAAAAACACACCTGATTTATTTTTAGTACAAATAATCTTATAATACACCGATTTTAATGCATGAGGAACAGCAGGATTCAAATCACTTGAGTGTTACTTTTGCATGTGACATACGTTATTAAGGAATTAAACAGCTTGTTATCTAATACTCAAGATAATATTTGTATTGGATATTTTTTATGAAAACCAATAAGTAGTTTTATCATTTAAGTTTTTTTGTAACCAAAAATAACAATAATTTCCTTGTTCTAGCTTCTCAAAAGTGATGAATTCTTGATTTCTTTGGAAGTTGAATATCATGTTTTGAACTGTTTATCGGACATATCATTTATATTAAGACTTTCCATTCTTAGTGGATTATGAGTTCTCATTTTTTGATTCATCTTAATTACATGAAATGGCAGTGACACTAACAATTATAAAGCTGCGATGTACGTTTTGAATATGGGTTCTTAGTGTGTTATTGTGATGCTTGTGTTTTCCCTCAGCTGCACACTGTATTAATCTGTCAAACACCTTCACTAAACACATGTAGAATAGGTTTTATATTTTAGTTGATCAACATCAGTTCATATGAAAGTGTTCTGGGTATTCCCAAACATTCATTCATTAAACTCACAGTAGCCAGATTGAATTGAAACATCCTCTGAAGGGACAATGGGAGGAACATATCTGACTATGATTTTGCTTTTATTTTTGATTCCAAATGCGATTAGGATTATTGTTGTTGTCAAAGCATTTTTCTGTAGATTCATCTTCAGGCCTGTCTTGTAGTCATCGTATTATCTGGCAGTGGCTCAGTCAGTAGGGGCTTGGACTGGGAGCTGTAGGGTCGCCGGTTCAAGTCCCAGATTAGACCTACATATGGAGTGTGGACTGCTACTTGGAGAGGTCCCAGTTCACCTCCTGCCCTGCCGTGGTGCCCTTGAGCAAGGCACCGGACACCCCCCCACTCCCATTGCTCCCCGGGCGCTGTACAATAGCTGCCCACTGCTCCTAGTGCTAGACTCCTGGTACTAGGATGGGTTAAAAGCAGAGAACACATTTCACTGTGCATGTGTGACCATTAAAGAGGGTTTCATCCCTCCCAATTCTATAAATAAAAACAATTATATTTATATCTACAAAAGTCATGACCTTAATTCTACTTAAACAAATCAGTAAAATAATGCAGTTGCTTGTTGTTATCCTTTCAGGGTTCTGTTTCTCCCAAACCACTTTTTCCATAGTAAAGAAAGCTTGTTTACTACAGGAAACACTTCCAGATTTAGCTCACATCTAGTAAGACATTACATTAGTGGTACACTAGGAGTAGTCAGTATTTCTTAGTATAATCATGCAGTGTATCAATGGCAGCGACTTAGTTATCCACATTTTAAAATAACTTAATCAAATTGTTGTTCAAACATTTTTAGTAGTTTCATCTGTATTGTTGGCATCGTATTTAACAACATGTCTACAACAATTAGTGTGTGCAGTTTATATTAAATAAGATATTACATTAGTGGTACATTTAACTTTGTAGTATAATCATGACGTTTAGTAGTGTATTCATAACCAGGCACATGTTATAACAACTTAAAACAGCTGCCAAGTAGCGTCTTGCAGTGTAAATACTTCTGGTATTGACCGCTCATAAATCTGTTGACAGCTCTGTAGCTGTTGAGCAAACTTTAGCTTCAACAGAGTAATGGGATGAACTGCTTTTTAAAACCCACGACGTCCAGATTCAAAAGTATTAAATGTTATGGTCCTTCACAGATATTAATACAAAATACTGACTCTCAAATTCGTAATCTGTGGAATTGCAATTATACAAAATACTGCTGATCGAAATGTACCTGCGAAGGTATTGGGACATTTCCCTTGAGGCTGATTTCTGTTAGCACAGCAATTAGGTTGTCAAACTCTTCTTTGTGTATAGTCTCTGCAGAAGCCCCACCTGACTTTAATCCAATTTGACAAAGACTTTGAAATCACCTTCTAAACTTTAGCACTGAATCAGTGTGGGGAAAACAGGCAATGACAAACATAGACACCTTGAAACTTGACTCAGTGAAAACTGCTCAGGTTTTCTCTCTATCTTTAAAATACATTGTTTTATCCGGTTGACAATGATTGACAGGTTTGTGGGATTCAGTGCTAAAAATCTACATACAGTCCTGCACTCTGCTTTGAATTAATTAATTTGGATTTGGCCTTTCATTATCCATTAGATTAGATTTCATTTTAACCTTTGTGTTGTCCTCATGTCAACTGTTTGTGTTGTCCTCATGTCAACTGTTTGTGTTGTCCTCATGTCAACTGTTTGTGTTGTCCTCATGTCAACTGTTGGTGTTGTCCTCATGTCAACTGTTTGTGTTGTCCTCATGTCAACTGTTTGTGTTGTCCTCATGTCAACTGTTTGTGTTGTCCTCATGTCAACTGTTTGTGTTGTCCTCATGTCAACTGTTTGTGTTGTCCTCATGCCAACTGTTTGTGTTGTCCTCATGTCAACTGTTTGTGTTGTCCTCGTGTCAACTGTTTGTGTTGTCCTCGTGTCAACTGTTTGTGTTGTCCTCGTGTCAACTGTTTGTGTTGTCCTCATGTCAACTGTTTGTGTTGTCCTCATGCCAACTGTTTGTGTTGTCCTCGTGTCATATGTTTGTGTTGTCCTCGTGTCAACTGTTGGTGTTGTCCTCATGCCAACTGTTTGTGTTGTCCTCGTGTCAGATGTTTGTGTTGTCCTCGTGTCAACTGTTTGTGTTGTCCTCGTGTCAGATGTTTGTGTTGTCCTCGTGTCATATGTTTGTGTTGTCCTCGTGTCAACTGTTTGTGTTGTCCTCGTGTCAACTGTTTGTGTTGTCCTCGTGTCAACTGTTTGTGTTGTCCTCGTGTCAGATGTTTGTGTTGTCCTCGTGTCATATGTTTGTGTTGTCCTCGTGTCATATGTTTGTGTTGTCCTCGTGTCAACTGTTTGTGTTGTCCTCATGTCAACTGTTTGTGTTGTCCTCATGTCAACTGTTTGTGTTGTCCTCATGTCAGATGTTTGTGTTGTCCTCGTGTCAACTGTTTGTGTTGTCCTCATGTCAGATGTTTGTGTTGTCCTCGTGTCAACTGTTTGTGTTGTCCTCTTGTCAACTGTTTGTGTTGTCCTCATGTCAGATGTTTGTGTTGTCCTCATGTCAGATGTTTGTGTTGTCCTCGTGTCAGATGTTTGTGTTGTCCTCATGTCAGATGTTTGTGTTGTCCTCGTGTCAGATGTTTGTGTTGTCCTCGTGTCAACTGTTTGTGTTGTCCTCGTGTCAACTGTTTGTGTTGTCCTCGTGTCAACTGTTTGTGTTGTCCTCGTGTCAACTGTTTGTGTTGTCCTCGTGTCAACTGTTTGTGTTGTCCTCGTGTCAACTGTTTGTGTTGTCCTCATGTCAACTGTTTGTGTTGTCCTCGTGTCAGATGTTGTGTTGTCCTCGTGTAGATGTTGGTGTTGTCCTCGTGTCAGACTGTTGTGTTGTCCTCGTGTCAACTGTTTTGTGTTGTCCTCAGTGTCAACTGTTTGTGTTGTCCTCATGTCAACTGTTTGTGTTGTCCTCATGTCAACTGTTTGTGTTGTCCTCATGTCAACTGTTTGTGTTGTCCTCATGTCAACTGTTTGTGTTGTCCTCGTGTCAACTGTTTGTGTTGTCCTCGTGTCAACTGTTTGTGTTGTCCTCGTGTCAACTGTTTGTGTTGTCCTCGTGTCAACTGTTTGTGTTGTCCTCGTGTCAACTGTTTGTGTTGTCCTCGTGTCAACTGTTTGTGTTGTCCTCGTGTCAACTGTTTGTGTTGTCCTCATGTTAACTGTTGGTGTTGTCCTCATGTCAGATGTTTGTGTTGTCCTCATGTCAACTGTTTGTGTTGTCCTCATGTCAACTGTTTGTGTTGTCCTCGTGTCATATGTTTGTGTTGTCCTCGTGTCAACTGTTTGTGTTGTCCTCGTGTCAACTGTTTGTGTTGTCCTCGTGTCAACTGTTTGTGTTGTCCTCGTGTCAACTGTTTGTGTTGTCCTCGTGTCAACTGTTTGTGTTGTCCTCGTGTCAACTGTTTGTGTTGTCCTCGTGTCAACTGTTTGTGTTGTCCTCGTGTCAACTGTTTGTGTTGTCCTCATGTCAACTGTTTGTGTTGTCCTCATGTCAACGGTTTGTGTTGTCCTCATGTCAACTGTTTGTGTTGTCCTCATGTCAACTGTTTGTGTTGTCCTCGTGTCAGATGTTGGTGTTGTCCTCATGTCAGATGTTTGTGTTGTCCTCATGTCAGATGTTTGTGTTGTCCTCATGTCAACTGTTTGTGTTGTCCTCATGTCAACTGTTTGTGTTGTCCTCATGTCAACTGTTTGTGTTGTCCTCATGTCAACTGTTTGTGTTGTCCTCATGTCAACTGTTTGTGTTGTCCTCATGTCAGATGTTTGTGTTGTCCTCATGTCAGATGTTTGTGTTGTCCTCATGTCAACTGTTTGTGTTGTCCTCATGTCAACTGTTTGTGTTGTCCTCATGTCAACTGTTTGTGTTGTCCTCATGTCAACTGTTTGTGTTGTCCTCATGTCAACTGTTTGTGTTGTCCTCATGTCAACTGTTTGTGTTGTCCTCGTGTCAGATGTTTGTGTTGTCCTCATGTCAACTGTTTGTGTTGTCCTCATGTCAACTGTTTGTGTTGTCCTCATGTCAACTGTTTGTGTTGTCCTCATGTCAGATGTTTGTGTTGTCCTCGTGTCAACTGTTTGTGTTGTCCTCGTGTCAGATGTTTGTGTTGTCCTCATGTCAACTGTTTGTGTTGTCCTCATGTCAGATGTTTGTGTTGTCCTCGTGTCAACTGTTTGTGTTGTCCTCGTGTCAGATGTTTGTGTTGTCCTCGTGTCAGATGTTTGTGTTGTCCTCGTGTCAACTGTTTGTGTTGTCCTCGTGTCAACTGTTTGTGTTGTCCTCGTGTCAACTGTTTGTGTTGTCCTCGTGTCAACTGTTTGTGTTGTCCTCGTGTCAACTGTTTGTGTTGTCCTCATGTCAACTGTTTGTGTTGTCCTCGTGTCAACTGTTTGTGGTTGTCCTCGTGTCAACTGTTTGTGTTGTCCTCGTGTCAACTGTTTGTGTTGTCCTCGTGTCAACTGTTTGTGTTGTCCTCGTGTCAACTGTTTGTGTTGTCCTCGTGTCAACTGTTGGTGTTGTCCTCGTGTCAACTGTTTGTGTTGTCATCGTGTCAACTGTTTGTGTTGTCCCTCGTGTCAACTGTTTGTGTTGTCCTCGTGTCAACTGTTGTGTTGTCCTCGTGTCAACTGTTTGTGTGTCCTCAGTGGTCAGATGTTTTGTGTTGTCCTCGTGTTAGATGTTTGTGTTGTCCTCGTGTCAGATGTTTGTGTTGTCCTCGTGTCAGATTGTTGTGTGTTGTTCCTCGTGTCAACTGTTGTGTTGTCCTCGTGTCAACTGTTTGTGTTGTCCTCGTGTCAAACTGTTTTGTGTTGTCCTCGTGTCAATGTTTGTGTTTGTCCTCGTGTCAGATGTTTGTGTTGTCCTCGTGTCAACTGTTTTGTGTTGTCCTCGTGTCAACTGTTTGTGTTGTCCTCGTGTCAACTGTTTGTGTTGTCCTCGTGTCAGACTGTGTTTGTTGGGTTGTCCTCGTGTCAACTTGTGTGTTGGTCCTCGTGTCAATGTTTGTGTTGTCCTCGTGTCAACTGTTTGTGTTGTCCTCGTGTCAACTGTTTGTGTTGTCCTCATGTCAGATGTTTGTGTTGTCCTCATGTCAACTGTTTGTGTTGTCCTCATGTCAACTGTTTGTGTCACCAACTAATTACCACACGTTGCACTTACATTTAATTATTAAAATACCTCGCGTGCACAAATATATAAAGCTATTTTTACAGCGCAAACATTGTGAATCATTTTGACCATCGTTATTACAGACTATATGTCAAATAATATTTACTTTGATTAGGATCCTGTTTTGAAACTATTTGAAAGAGGACACATTCTGCTAATTGACGGGCTCATATTCGTGTTTTGTTCCTCGACTGTGACATGTTTTAATGTTAAAGTGAGAGAGAAACTTCCTCTGGAGGGAACACAGGGATTTTAGCCTCTGCAGACCATTTACATGCACTAAAGCAGTGGTTCTCAACTGGTCCGGCCTCGGGACCCACTTTTTACTTGGTCAATACATCGCGACCCAACATTTCGAAGCACTCAAATCTATTCAACAAAAAATCGTGCTGTAATATATATATATACGCTTTTCAGCATACATTATTAATGAAAGTGAAGGACAGTGCATACATCCCTTATATCCCCTCACAGAACTAAAGAATGCTTTTTAAAAAAGGTTTAATGAGATGATGGAATCAAAGCTGAACTATATAAAAAGGCACGCATGCTGAAAACCCAACCCCAGCAGGGGGGGTCAGGGGGGATTCTCCCCCAGGAGATTTTTAGAAATACTAACAAACTATGCATTCTGGTACTCTGAGAAGAAAGTAAATAAATCTATTACTACCCGACATATTAATAATATTTTATGCCATTGTTTGTTTTTCACTTTGTTCTGACATCTTGCTGCGAGAAGAGCAAAGAGGAGAGAGTCTGTGTGACTTACTTTAAATTGTGGGTAAGGGTAGATAGCTCCCATTGTTCTGTGACCTGTCAGTCATCAGACTGGGGGTCATATTTCATTATGTGTTCATTTGTATCTGAAGTTGTACCCATGGATGTGTAAAGAAGAGTTCTACCGCTAAGTTATTCTCCGTGGGGACTTCCGGCAACAATCTTGATTCTGATTGGCCAGAAGACACAAAAACATCAGCAAAGATATTTTATTGAGAAGATGATCACTACGTGAAAGAAGTTTTCAAAACCGTTTATGGTCTCCGGTACTTCCAGTCCAACGTCGACAAAATAAAAGTTTGACTTTTTCCCCAAAAAAAAGAATTCCAAATTTATTTTTTCTTCACTCACACATCCACGACCCACTCAAAACGGGTCCGCCACCCACTTTTGGGTCGCGACCCACCAGTTGAGAACCACTGCACTAAAGGAAAGGGAAAACCCTCATAAAGCATAATGGGGCCTCTTGCATTATTTAATGGCAGCGCAAAATGACACCAGATGCTATACATTTAAACAACACACACAAATCAATGAAAGTAATGAGTATTCTTTGCGTAGAAACTAGTTTGAAACCGTCCATGTTGTTTTTGGCTATGAGATGAAATAAACTGTTATCCTGACAAACATATTTTATAATCATCCAAGCACAACACAAAGGCTAAGTAGCATTGGAAAAGCTTCTGTCTTCACACTCATGTCCATCCTTTGATTATAGCATGATCTGTTTGTAATACCCGCTCTCTGTGGCTCTGTGTTTTTACCCTGAAGGTCACGGAAAAACCCCTAAAGATGCAGCGTCAGTGCGGGCCACACACCCCATCCCTGCTGCCTGCGGGGTCTACTACTTCGAGGTCAAGATCATCAGCAAAGGACGAGATGGGTGAGGACTCAGAACACAGAAAAACACTTACACAACTCCTCATTGACTATATTTTAACCTGTGTTAGTTAGGGCTGTACCTGAATATTCGTTCGTTGGAGTACTATTCGGGTTTCAATTTCGTTATTTGTTTTTTTTTTCCCGTTTCTTTTGCAAATTGAATGTATTGAAATCTCCAATATCAACGTAAGAGCTCGTGCCTCTTCGGGGGGTGCTAACACTTAGCCATAAAAGTTATTCTTTACTTTCTCCGTCTTTATATGTAGATATTACTTTTCTCCGTTAATCTCCGTCACGTTGTTTCCAAAGCAACAACAACTTCCTGTCAACAGCGCTACCTCTCCTTCAAAATAAAAGCACACTTGAGACATATACAACTGCAACGAAAGTAACAAACACAATGCGCTATCCTTTTCAATTTCATATTCCCCCCCCCCACCGCGGGCCGAATATTCGCTGCTGATTACTACAGAATATCCGGAGCCCGAAAAATGGTATTCGGGACAGCCCTAGTGTTAGTGATACGTCATCAGGGGGATGGCAGTAGGGCTAACACAGAAAAAACATTAAAGTGATTATTTTGTCTGATATGTTGGAGGGATTGATCCTTTTTTTTAAACATTATTCTCATTATTATTAGACTGTTAGTAGGCTGGGACCTCTCTGCAGCTCCACAACACTTCATTCAGATATAATTACCTATTAAACGTTACCAAATATTGCACTTACTGCGATTTGGATATTGCACGATGGATATCATTTTGATTAATTGTGCCCTGTGTCACAAACAAAGGGGCTTTGGCTCTTCGGTGGGGGCTGTCCTTGACTTGATAAACTCTTAGATGACTGACACACTTATGCAATGTGTTGATGTTTATCAGCAAGGCATAATTAATGGCGGGTCTTGCTCTTAAATCTCTTTTGACGTGTCTAAATAAACTCTTAAATCTCTCTCCACAGGTACATGGGCATCGGCCTGTCCGCTCAGGGTGTAAACATGAACAGACTCCCAGGTAAGACGACACTTTGTGTGCTTGCTTTCTCTCTTTGGGTGTGGTGAGATAAATGTCTGTTTCTACTACAGGGTTCCCGCGGGGTCTTAAAAAGTCGTATATTTGATAATCAGAATTCAAGGCCTTAAAAAGTCTTAAATATGATTTTTTTTAAAAAATAAGAAAGGTCTTAAATATGATTTAGAGCAGGGGTCTCCAACACGTCGATCGCAAGCTACCAGTAGCTCGCTAAGCAAATCCAAAATGTAAAAATTACACACAGAAAAAAAATAAATGTAATCTAAAATAATCTACCCTATGCATAAACGAAACATCTACATCTACACTATCTACTTACTACAACTCTATACACCCCTCCTCCGCCCACCTCCCACAATGAATATCGACAAATCCCGTTCTTGCTTGATTTGCGGGACCAGCGTTGCAGTCGGGAAGAAAAGCAATGTGGAGCGGCAGCTCACCGCTTCATAAGGAGTTTGACCGAGATTTTCCTTCTGGCAGAATCTACACAACATTTCAGCCCCATTGAACAGCCTATCATGCCAGCCTGTACAACACATGAGGGGCAGAGTTTTTCTCTGTGTGTGTTGCAACTTGTATATATATTTATTGCACTTGACGCACACACGGCGTAATTTTCACTGGGGACATGCCCCCCCCCCCCCGCACTTTTCAAAATCCCGTTTTTTTTTTTTTTATGCAAGCTGTCATCGCCATGGAGGAGCACACAGCCTCTGTGAGAGAGAGAGAGAGATTTAAAAATAAACCTTCCCGGGGCTGCATGCCCCCGGACCCCACTAGCAACCATGACAACCATGACAACCATGCTCCGGGGTCTTCTTCGCTGCTTTTGGTGTATTTTGTGGCGGCAGCAGCGTCACTTACAGGCCTGGCATATGTACTACAGCGTTTCCAGCGGTCTAGTGTGAACGGACACGTTAATGAATCGAATGCGTGTGAACGGAAGACTTTTTTGCGTTTGCGTATGTGTTTTACTGTATGCGTCCTCGTGGGGCCGGGGTCTAAGCCAAACTATATCCGGTCACAGAGATCTGCTATTTTAAGTAAGGTCAACACATATCGACGCTAAATATAGTCTATATTAAGAACGAGAAAAGTCTTAACATATATACAGTTTTTTGTAAACATATGACAAATGTGTGAGGGTGATGACGTCAGAGCATCGTCCTATGTGCCGGGCTTAGCCCCGGACAGCCCCAGCCCAATTTAACCCCTGGGTATTTGTGAGGGAGCTCCTATATGGCGTTACCCCGCTGAAGCTCACCAACGTTTAATATATTTCATAGTTCAAAGTTTTGTCAATTGTTTTGTTTATTGGTCAAATACTGGTTTCTACTGGTTTCTAATGGTTTCTACTGGTTTCTAATGGTTTCTAATGGTTTCTACTGGTTTCTAATGGTTTCTAATGGTTTCTACTGGTTTCTACTGGTTTCTAATGGTTTCTACTGGTTTCTACTGGTTTCTAATGGTTTCTACTGGTTCTACTGGTTTCTAATGTTTCTAATGGTTTCTACTGGTTTCTAATGGTTTCTAATGGTTTCTAATGGTTTCACTGGAATGAAAGAGCACAGAGTACAGAAGCAACAAAGCAGCATCCTGCATTAAACCTGACCTTCACAGAGAGGTTGAAGTTCATGTGGAGAGGAGGCTTCAGAAGTCTGTCTGCACTCTGTTTAGTTGTGCTATCTTACAATCAATATAGTCAATGTGAGGTAAAGTGTGTCGCCGATGTAACCGGTTAGAACTCGAAGTTGCGATGCGGTCTTAAAAAAGGTCTTAAAAGGTATTAAATTTGACTTCAGGATTCCTGCATACACACACACACACACACACACACACACACACACACACACACACAGAGCTGTTATGTTCAGTCATCGTTCTTATGTTGAACATGAATACATTTACTTTGTAAGTCATTATGGGATTTATTTCTTCTTTCAAAGCAGTTTTCCTTCATACTTTCTTGCTGTGAAATAGGTCTTCAATTCTATTCAAAGAGGTCTTAAAAGTCTTACATTTGAGTTATATTAGTTGGTATATATATATATATATATATATATATATATATATATATATATATATATATATATATATATATATATATATATATATATACCAACTCAAATGTTTTTTAAAGCCAAGATTATGTCGAGCTTGAGTAACTTTAATGAGAACACGGATTTTCTTCCAGATAATTGAGTCTGTCTTATTGTTTTTTTTTTTTTTTAAACACTATCAACACCTTTTCTCTGATTTATTTGTTATGCGTCTGTTTTTGTTTTAAATTCACGCTCAGATTGGACGATTTGTTGCATATTTCGCACCTGCTTGCTCTGCGCTCTTATTCTTAAAAAAATTCTCCTCCCTCAGGTTGGGACAAGCACTCGTATGGTTACCACGGAGACGACGGTCACTCCTTCTGCTCGTCCGGCACCGGGCAGCCCTACGGACCCACGTTTACAACGGGCGACGTGATTGGCTGCTGCGTAAACCTCATCAACAACACCTGCTTCTACACAAAGAACGGACACAGCCTAGGTAAGGAGCACAGAAACGAAGTGCAACAACTTCTGTTCCACTGTACAGTAATAATGTGATTTTTATTAACATAAGCAACAAATTAGCTTTCCTGTTAAAGTCTCTTTCTAATCTCACGAAAGCTAACGATCATCACCTGGGAGAAGCTCACTGCTAAAGTTACTGTAGGCTAGTATCAGGTCTCCAGACTAACTTTCTCTATTACATTTTTGTGCCTTATAGCCTTTTTTACATTTTATTTACCATTGTGTTTCTTGAAGACATTGTGCTTTTTTTTTCCCACACGAAACTGTCTCAGGGCTTCTTAACATTTAACAACCTATTAATGTGTCACACCCACTTAACGGGAAGAAACTCAGCTAACTGACGATATGAACATTTTTTATAGAAACAAAACACAAGTCTCACAAGAAGTGTCTAAATGAGCCCCGACTTAGAACAGATCTCAAGTTAAAATACCCTTATTACTTATCGGATCCGCACAAACAAGATATCGATTAGCAAGCTGAGATTCTACAGGTAACAGTATCATCACTGAGCGATCAGAACTCACGGCGAAATGACAACAAACAACAAAAGTAGCTTTACGGGACCACATCGGAAAATAAGTCTTACCGTTACTGTTGTTCTGATCAAAAGTCGTGTTCAATGGCATTACAACGATACAACGCTGCTGAAGGTTAATCCAATGTGTCTGTCACTTTGAAATTATTTCTGATAATCCATCTCCATTTTTATGTCAAACGGAGATTTCATATTAGCTGCTATGATCGCTACCAGAATGTATGACAGCTTCCTGTTTTGGGCATCCTGGCTGCGCATCTCATTCACCAATGGTAATGTTTAGATGGATTTTAGGAACTTCCCCTCGATTCTATTGGCTCTAACGGTTCAAATAGAGGTGTCAATTATCAAAATCGACCAATGGGGCCAGAGATATTGAAAATCTACCCAAATGACCCCAGAAGTGGTTTTTTTGTGCTAAATGTCTCTAAAAAGGTCAAATGTCACTTGTTTTGCATCAATCTTGATACAGGGTACTTATTATATGTTATAGTTTGGATTCCTAAAGCTTTTAGTCTATCCCATCATTCAAGGGTGGTTTTCACGATAAGTAATGTTTCTTTTTTTGGACGGACACAATCATTTACATTTTTTTACTGTGTTCAATCTCAATTTACTTTAAAATAAAAAAAATCTATTATGATTCTGATTTTTCTACATCCAACCCACAGGTTTATCATCGCTTTGAGAAAAAAGATTATTAATGTAACCCTTTTTAGAAGTGAAGTTATGGTCATTTGTTCTGGGAATGTCATTTTCGAGCCTGAGGCCTGAAAAACAGGCTCGGGGCTTAACAGGTTAACTGAGGTACCAACAGAAAAAGCGCTGTTCCCAGGCAAGCTCAATTTGTATTGCACAAAGGGATAATCACCTTAGGGAAATATTATATAAGCAAATTGTGTTTTTAAAAGATCATTTAAATGTGCAGCAATGCATTCAGTTTTCTTCTAGTTCCATTTGTGACCAGTTGATTGGCTACTCAGCCGCAGCACATTAAACAGCACGTAAACACTCCTGCAAATATCAATGTGGTCCAGTTAGATGCTCTTATGGTCTTTTACTCTTTAATATCACCGCTAACCGTCTGCCCTTAGCTTGTAGATACAGGGTGATAACAAACACTGAACGGAGGATGTCAATCAATCACACTCACACCTCCATGCAGCATTTCATGTTGACTGCAAAGATGGAAGACTAAATGTGACAAATGGAAATAGACCTGTCTTGTTAACATGGTGTTGAAGCGGTCAGATTAATGCAGAAAGATGACAGGTAAACACACTGAGGCCTCCTGCTGTGTGTGTCAGTGTGTGTGTGTGTGTGTGTGTGTGTGTCCTTCATGCTGACTCTCTCTCTCTCTTCCTCTGCAGGCATTGCCTTCACAGACCTACCAGTAAGTACCACATTATCTCCTCTCCTTAAGTTTCCATAATGAATCAGGACTCTAGGACATGAGGCTTTTTATAGAAATCAAGTGTTTGATTCCCTGCAGAGTGGCCACTGTAGTCCGAATGTTTACACTGTGTGGAAAGCAGGCTGGAACATGTCTGCGCCATTCAGGTCGTTGATGTTTTCACGAAGGGGAGAAACAAGCCTGGACACATTTCACACACCTGGAGCGCTTTATTGAGTAGTGTAAAAGCTATGTTCAGCATGTAGTGACAAATTATTAGATGTACGACTGGTTTCCTTTCTGCTTCACTAAGACACATTTGAACCTTCTTGTTATACAATTTGTATCCGCAGTGTAGTGTCGGTATCTTTAGCTATACCCAGTCAAACGCAAGCAAGAGTTTATCCGGATTTTCATTTCAATTCCTTTCTTTTTTTAAACAAATTTCCATCCTTAAATCTTTGCATGAAAGAAACGTTTGTGTTTTTTTTTTAATTGATCAACTCTGGCAAGCTTCAGTATTTGTCATAATACCCTCTTTGGAGTGCTTAGGATTTATCATGTCCAACTAAACAAGCGATTTTAAACAAGGGTTTTTTAGGTCCAGAAAAAAAGGAAAACAGTTTAAAATGTGCTTTTAATCTTCTTAAAATGTTGGCCATAAAAGTCCAATTGTTTTACATATTATTAAGTAACTGAACTAATGAAAGCCTATATATTTAATATGATGTTTTGTGTTGCAACAGGACACAACTTGTGTTGCTTTGTGCTGTTGTGGCTTGTCATCAGCTCCCATGCTTCATTATGAGAAACACTCCCACGCCAAAAGGAAATTCATTCTAATGGGATTCATGCATGCATTAACGGCGTCGAGATGTGAGAGGAGACGCTTGTTTTGTAAAGTTTATTTTCCTCCTCTCGTCTTGCAAATTAAAACGAGTCCGGGAAGAAGCAGAAAATAAGAGTCTTATCCACAACAATAATCCATTGAGCAGAACACAGTGTTGGCAGAGGGCCAGACATTCATGCTTCTGCAGAGAAGTGCGTCACCTCCACACAGCTGACGTTTCTGGTTATTGAACCGGGACAAAGGCGACTCTAGAGACACACACAACTTTTGTACTTTTACAACTATTTATTCGCTAACCCTTATAGACATGTACAGCTTCTGCTCTGGGTTATAGAGGGGCTATCTGACCAACATTAAGCAATACAAATGTTTTTTTTTATTGTATCTTTGTGGCTAAAATAAGCTTAACTGCTGCCCCAATCCAGAGCAGTACAGTTTTTATATGTAGTGTCTCTACTTTAAAGAGTCCTCTCCTGCTGATGTTCAGGTGTATATCAGTATGTAGTGTCTCTACTTTAAAGAGTCCTCTCCTGCTGATGTTCAGGTGTATATCAGTATGTAGTGTCTCTACTTTAAAGAGTCCTCTCCTGCTGATGTTCAGGTGTATATCAGTATGTAGTGTCTCTACTTTAAAGAGTCCTCTCCTGCTGATGTTCAGGTGTATATCAGTATGTAGTGTCTCTACTTTAAAGAGTCCTCTCCTGCTGATGTTCAGGTTAATATCGTATGTAGTGTCTCTACTTTAAAGAGTCCTCTCCTGCTGATGTTCAGGTGTATATCAGTATGTAGTGTCTCTACTTTAAAGAGTCCTCCTCCTGGCTGATGTTCAGGTGTATATCAGTATGTAGTGTCTCTACTTTAAAGAGTCCTCTCCTGCTGATGTTCAGGTGTATATCAGTATGTAGTGTCTCTACTTTAAAGAGTCCCTCTCCTGCTGATGTTCAGGTGTATATCAGTATGTAGTGGTCCTCTACTTAAAGAGTCCTCTCCTGCTGATGTTCAGGTGTATATCAGTATGTAGTGTCTCTACTTTAAAGAGTCCTCTCCTGCTGATGTTCAGTGTATATCAGTATGTAGTGTCTCTACTTTAAAGAGTCCTCTCCTGCTGATGTTCAGGTGTATATCAGTATGCAGTGTCTCTACTTTAAAGAGTCCTCTCCTGATGATGTTCAGGTGTATATCAGTATGTAGTGTCTCTACTTTAAAGAGTCCTCTCCTGCTGATGTTCAGGTGTATATCAGTATGTAGTGTCTCTACTTTAAAGAGTCCTCTCCTGCTGATGTTCAGGTGTATATCAGTATGTAGTGTCTCTGCTTTAAAGAGTCTTCTCCTGCTGATGTTCAGGTGTATATCAGTATGTAGTGTCTCTACTTTAAAGAGTCCTCTCCTGCTGATGTTCAGGTGTATATCAGTATGTAGTGTCTCTACTTTAAAGAGTCCTCTCCTGCTGATGTTCAGGTGTATATCAGTATGTAGTGTCTCTACTTTAAAGAGTCCTCTCCTGCTGATGTTCAGGTGTATATCAGTATGTAGTGTCTCTACTTTAAAGAGTCCTCTCCTGCTGATGTTCAGGTGTATATCAGTATGTAGTGTCTCTAATTTAAATAGTCCTCTCCTGCTGATGTTCAGGTGTATATCAGTATGTAGTGTATCTACTTTAAAGAGTCCTCTCCTGCTGATGTTCAGGTGTATATCAGTATGTAGTGTCTCTACTTTAAAGAGTCCTCTCCTGCTGATGTTCAGGTGTATATCAGTATGTAGTGTCTCTACTTTAATGAGTCCTCTCCCTCTGATGTTCAGGTGTATATCAGTATGTAGTGTCTCTAATTTAAAGAGTCCTCTCCTGCTGATGTTCAGGTGTATATCAGTATGTAGTGTCTCTACTTTAAAGAGTCCTCTCCTGCTGATGTTCAGGTGTATACAGTATGTAGAGTCTCTACTTTAAAGAGTCCCTCCTTGCTGATGTTCATGTGTATATCAGTATGTAGTGTTTTCTACTTTAAAGAGGCCTCTCCTCTCCTGCTGATGTTCAGGTGTATATCAGTATGTAGTGTATCTACTTTAAAGAGTCCTCTCCTGCTGATGTTCAGGTGTATATCAGTATGTAGTGTCTCTACTTTAAAGATCCTCTCCTGCTGATGTTCAGGTGTATATCAGTATGTAGTGTCTCTACTTTAAAGAGTCCCTCTTCCTGCTGATGTTCAGGGTGTATATCAGTATGTAGTGTCTCTGCTTAAAGAGTCTTCTCCTGCTGATGTTCAGGTGTATATCAGTATGTAGTGTCTCTACTTTAAAGAGTCCTCTCCTGCTGATGTTCAGGTGTATATCAGTATGTAGTGTCTCTACTTTAAAGAGTCCTCTCCTGCTGATGTTCAGGTGTATATCAGTATGTAGTGTCTCTACTTTTAAAGAGTCCTCTCCTGCTGATGTTCAGGTGTATATCAGTATGTAGTGTCTCTACTTTAAAGAGTCCTCTCCTGCTGATGTTCAGGTGTATATCAGTATGTAGTGTCTCTACTTTAAAGAGACCTCTCCTGCTGATGTTCAGGTGTATATCAGTATGTAGTGTCTTACTGTGACATGTGGCATGTCAGGTGTAATGTTCAAAACGCTCTTATTTATTTCTGAACCAGAGCCCGGTCGTCTCTGATTGGTTAGCTGGCCGGCTCTGTTGTGATTGGTCAACCGCTTAGAGATGTCCTTCCCCTTAGCATCACGTACAATGTGTTGGAGCGTTAGCCAATAGAAGAGTGAGTGTTACATAGTGATGTCAGTGATGTGTACATGCACACAAACCTATAGAATACATAAAAGCAGAGGGAAAGCAGGATAGGATTTCTCAAGTAAATAAAAAAAAAAAATCAGCCACATTCTAGATATTCTATTTATTTATTTTGCGATTATTTACCTTTACAGTTGTATAAGGTTCTTCTTGGGCAGTTAAAATCAAAAGTACAATGTGTTTGAGCGCTAGCCAATAGAAGCGCGAGTGGTCCACCGTGATGTCACTATGTAAACAATGGAGGTGTTTTCCAGGTGGCTTAACCCTGTACTCTCTCATTTCTCTCTGCTGCAGCCGAACTTGTACCCGACCGTGGGTCTCCAGACTCCAGGGGAGGTGGTGGACGCAAACTTCGGGCAGCACCCCTTTGTGTTCGACATCGAGGACTACATGCGCGAATGGAGGACGAAAATCCAGGCGCAGATCGACCGCTTCCCCATCGGAGAGCGAGAGGGCGAGTGGCAGTCCATGATCCAGAAGTAAGATGATTTTAAAAGTTAATTATTGTGGTGTAACCCGAAACACTTTTAGACCTTATTTCAGACCAATGTCGTAGCAACTCGGGTCGCATTCACACCAGCCTTGTTTAGTCTGGTTGAATCGAAGCCTGGTTTGTTTGGATCGGTCTGAGACCTCTGAAGTGAACCTAGAAGAGGTGGTCTCGGACCGCTTGCTAGTGAACTCTGGAGCGGTTCATCGCTGGTGTGAACGCAGTCCGCACCAAAACACAGGAAGCGTAGTATTTACGAGTCACAAGAACGCGGATATCTTCAAAATCTTTAGCGAAAGAGTGAAGCAGAATGAAGTGTTGAACAGTGAAGTAAAAGTTCTCCGTCAACTACACATAAAAGTCAGAGCCACCTGTCGTCGGTGAAGCCTCCTCCTGACTGCAGAACATCTCATTATGTGTTATAATGTTTTTTATTGCACGTCGTCTGATTATATAATCATATGCGCCGTCTGCTAGAGTCTGTTGATCTGCTCTCCAGATTAACAGCAGCATGAAAGTAACCTGCCGATGCTCCATGGCGGAGGCTCCGGTAGAAATTGCCGGGTTTTGCGTTTTTACCCCCTTGATGTCTGACCAATGGGTGAACAGCATTTCCGTGCACATGACTTGTGTTTAAAGTTTATAGTCCGTTTTAGTTTTGCCGTGTGAACGCAAACCGAACCTTCTGAAAAAGAAAACAATGTAACAAACTAGCAGACGATTAGGAGTGACCTTAAAATCAGCTGCTGTCTAGAGAAAATGATGAGTGAGGCAAAGAAACACAATATCGATATAAAGTCTTTTAAGATATTTTCTTTTAACACTTGCAAGCATGACGACTCCTCCTGAGTGCTCTGTGTGACAGACTCTCTTATAGGGAAACATCAAAGATCATTCTCCTGACAGCACAACATTTGGGCCCAGGTGGATCACAATAAGCAAAACTCACACCCTACAAAGAACAGTTTGGTGTCGTAGCTTCCCCCCAGAGCAAACGTCTTCCTTTCCTGTAGTGTCATAAAACCCTTCATCTTACCCTCGTGAACACAGACCACATGTTCTCAGACATAAGGATTTAAAACACTTGAAAGGATACTACTTAAGTTACATTTCATTAGGGTTACCCTGCATTAAGCTTTAATATCATGATTGCCATAACATTTACAACCAAAAACACATTCAGAAAATCAGTGACCTCCACACAAGGGAACAGGAAGGGCTAACATGCTGACTCATTCCTGCACCACTCTATTTAGTAGGAGGTCTTGACGCCAACAGTAACATTATGAAAACTGTAACAAAATGAGTTTTATTTCTATTTTAAAACCCATTTTAACCGACTACTACAGCAAACCTATAGTGGATTTACAATTTTTGAGCACTTACCATGACTTAAAACTGTATTCAGGGCAGTTTTACTAGCAATGCTGAATTTAATAATGAGTTAAAAGGAAGTTGTGGACACTTTAGGTGACAGGGAACCAGTGCTGATATGATGGAGAGTCGTGATCCAGAAGTGAAAGCTGTGGCACTTTGTCTCTCTTCATGCTGATGGGATTAGCCCTCTGTTGCTATGATGAATGGTCCCGAATGGATTTAATCTCCGTTTGATGGGGATTGGAGGGTGGAGGGAGCCGTCGCCTTTTATCCTTACTGCGTGGGATTGAAAACAGGAAGTTGGCATGCTTGCGTCCCATTGGTTGGATGTGTTATTGTCTCTGCAGAAGATTTGTGGTCATCGTGTTCCTGCAGCTCTGCAAACACGTCACGAGGCGATTTTGAGGGAGAGAGAGAGAAAGTGCAAATATTACACTGGCTCTCATCCTTTTTTAAAGCACTGTTTCATTGTGGGTCATCTTAGTACTGATGGAGGGGTGGCTTCATCATTTTCACATGAAAAAGTCAGCATACTTGGACACATTAAACGGATATTTTACACACATTCTTGAAGCATGATTCTGGTATACAACTTATTTTTCTTCTTTTAGTGACCTTCTATTTCTGTTATGAAAATATTTGTTTCATAAAGTTAATTCCTCAAATTCATGCAATCAGAGAAATTGGAAACAAGCGACATTTTTGCAATGGACATAAAAAACCGTGAATTTAAAGACAAGTTATGACCAAATCTGTCCGTTGTTAAACTTGGTGAACAAACAAACTTCCTGGTTGGACGCTTTGTAGTTGTGTGCAGACTTTTCTAAATAATGCAAGGAGTTTTTATCAGATATTTAATAAACGGATTTAGATAGACTAACATTTTTGCTCCTCGTTGGTTGAAAGTGTCCTTGCTCGTTTTTATAGTTTTTTTCGCTTTGTTTTTAAGCAATGAAAATATAAGTCTCTGTCGATGTCACTTTAGAAAATATTCTAAGATCTTAAATGGGAATCATTTCAGCAGTGGGTATTATATATACATTTAATAAAACAAAATACTAATACTTGGACTTTGTTGACATCATTTGACATTTCCTGTACTTTCTTGAGTTCCGAGACAAGAATTGTTCATGAAGTTAAATGACATCTGATCGTGTGATGAAAGTTAAAGGTGGGGTGGGTAATTCACTTCAGAAACACTTTTTGTTATATTCCATGGAATGCTCTTAACATCCCGATAGCAATGAATACATTAAATGCTTTGACAACAAATACATAAAGAAATGTCATCTGTGGAAGCAGTAGCACTGTAAAAAGCACGAGGGCTGTACCCGATTATTCGTTCGTTGGAGTATTATTCGGGTTTCAATTTCGTTATTCGTTTTTTTTCCCGTTTTTTGCAGTATCAGTATCCACGTAAGAGCTTGTGCCTCTTCGGGGGGTGCTAACACTTAACCATAAACGTTATCGTTTACTGCCTCCGTCTTTATATGTAGATATTACTTTTCTCCGTTAATCTCCGTCACGTTGTTTCCATAGCAACAACAACTTCCTATCAACTGCGCTAACTCTCCTTCCAAATAAAAGCATGTCCATAAATAGGAAGCCAAGCCAAATTACACTTAAGACATATACAACTGCAACGAAAGTAACAAACTGGATGGCCTACCTGCCTGTCAGCCTTCCATCTGTGCACAAACTTATCTCGTGCCCTCATTGGTCATGTGCGCGTCCGTGTGTGTTGGAGGAGGGGCTCTGTGAGGAAGTCTGAAGGAAGAGGCAGATTGTTTTCGGCTGCGTATTTTCAAATTCTAGCGCACTCGAGCTGGTTTCTCCATTCTTACCTACCCTACCTTTAATAAATGCTCGTATCTGTTGAGTGTAAAACGCTCTTAATGATTCCTCCCTTGCTGTGTCTAATCCCTGAGTCTTGTCTCCTCAGGATGGTGGCTTCCTACCTGGTTCATCACAGCTACTGCGCCACGGCTGAAGCTTTCGCTAAATCCACAGACCAGGCCGTGCACGAGGAGCTGGCCTCCATCAAAAACAGACAGAGTGAGTCCTCATGAATGATGCTTCTAACGGGTTGAACAAAGGAACCAGAAACATTCTCTATCAAAAGGAAGTTGAAAGCTTCACCGCTAACGGTTACACTTGTCGTGTCAAATGATCATATAATCAATTAAAACATATAGTCTTGTACTCTGTTAACTTGTGTTTTAAGTGTTTAACAGAGTAGACAGATGTTAAGGATTTACATTTCAGGAGAGCACAAGGAAGAGTAAAGGGGGTTTGATGATGGGATGGAGGAGCAGCTGTTTCCTCATGAATATATAGAGAGACTGTCAGCAGAACTTCTGTGTCCTCTGAGGAGGAAGCTGCTCTGTTCCTGCATTCGAGATCCATTTCACTTGAAATGGATCTCGAAATGTTGAGAAATATCCTCACTAAATAAAAACATGTCTGCACAGCACACACAGTACAAGACAATGTTTTAAGTCTCACCTCTGATGCTCCCTGTCGCCGTGCAGAGATCCAGAAGCTGGTGTTGTCGGGCAGAATGGGCGAGGCCATCGAGACCACCACGCAGCTGTACCCCACCCTGCTGGAGAGGAACCCCGACCTGCTCTTCATGCTCAAGTACGACCCCCCGCTGACTCAAAATGTTGTTGTTCTTCACATTTGATTGAACCAAATCACCGATTATATATTGTATACTCCTGTTGTTACTGGAAGATCATCAGGAGCCTGTTATTACTTCAGGCAAACTAAAATATTGACGGTTTTTCAACAAATTCCTGAAGATTATCGTTCAAAAAGTTAACGGTGCACTTCTTGTGGCATCTTTGGCTTTTATCGAAACTCATGAATACTTTAAAGCGGTGATTGTGATTTAAGCATCAACATTGAAAACTGATATTTAAAGAAATGAGGAAAATAAAGTTAAAGGTGGGGTCGGTCATTTTGGAGAAACCAGCTCGAGTGCGCTAGAATTTGAAAATACACAGCCGGAGAAAATGTGCCACTTCCTTACAGAGCCCCTCCCCCAACACACACGAACGCACACATGACCAATGAGGGCACGAGATCAGTGTGTGCCCAGATGGAAGGCTGACAGGCAGGTAGGCCGTCCAGTTACTTTAGATGATTGGTCGTGCTTTTTACAGCGCCACGGCTTCCAGAGGTGACATTTGTTTATTGTCAAAGCACTTCAGATATTCATTGCTATCGGGACGTTAAGAGCATTCCATGGAATATAACAAGTGTATATCGAGCCGGTTTCTCAAACTTACCTACCCCACCTTTAACTTAATGAATCTTGCAAGGGGAGATTAAGTTATTTTACCGCTGTTATATACCGTATTTAGTTTCTTCTATAACCTGACCTGTCTATAAACCATAATATTCAGATTAATTAATGACTTTTTTCTGTTTTCTCTCCTTCCTTTCATTCTTTTCCATCTGTTGTATTTCTTTTTGGGATGTGTTGCACGGTAGGTTCATGTTAGGACCACAGGTTATTCTAGGTCTCGAGAGCAGAGAAGAGAGAAGAGATAGAGGATCTATTCTATAGAGCTCTCTCTCTCTCGCTCTCTATCTCTATCATCTTCTCTCATCGTCTCTCTCTCTCTCTCTCTCTTCTTCTCGTCTATCCTTCTCATCTGCTCTCTCTCTCTCTCTCTCTCTCTCTCTCTCTCTCTCTCTCTCCCTTCCCTTCTCCCCCTCAGAGTGAGACAGTTCATAGAGATGGTGAATGGGACGGACAGTGAGGTGAGATGTCTGGGGGGTCGCAGCCCAAAGTCTCAGGACATTTACCCCGCCTCCCCCCGGCCCTTCAGCCCGAGCCACAAAGCCAGCGGCTCCCTGCCAGGTACACGGAAACATACATATATATATTCTTCTCCATGTTACACAGTGACAACGATTAGCTTTTTACAGCCGAGTTTCTGTATGTGGAAAAGTGTTTAGTTTGAGCAGCTTGAACACTAATGCTATCTGTGCACTGCATGAAGAGTTATCTTTAGGTCATTAGTTTATCACAGTCTTCTATTTGTGTTTCAGAACGGACAATTTGCACTTTAGTTCATCATGTGAACTTTAGTTCATCATGTGAACTTTAGTTCATCATGTGAACTTTAGTTCATCATGTGAACTTTAGTTCATCATGTGAACTTTAGTTCATCATGTGAACTTTAGTTCATCATGTGAACTTTAGTTCATCATGAGAACTTTAGTTCATCATGAGAACTTTAGTTCATCATGAGAACTTTCGTTCATCATGAGAACTTTAGTTCATCATGAGAACTTTAGTTCATCATGAACACTTTAGTTCATCATGAGAACTTTAGTTCATCATGTGAACTTTAGTTCATCATGTGAACTTTAGTTCATCATGAGAACTTTAGTTCATCATGAGAACTTTAGTTCATCATGTGAACTTTAGTTCATCATGTGAACTTTAGTTCATCATGTGAACTTTAGTTCATCATGAGAACTTTAGTTCATCATGAGAACTTTAGTTCATCATGTGAACTTTAGTTCTTCATGTGAACTTTAGTTCATCATGTGAACTTTAGTTCTTCATGTGAACTTTAGTTCATCATGTGAACTTTAGTTCTTCATGAACACTTTAGTTCATCATGAACACTTTAGTTCATCATGAGAACTTTAGTTCATCATGTGAACTTTAGTTCATCATGTGAACTTTAGTTCATCATGTGAACTTTAGTTCATCATGAGAACTTTAGTTCATCATGAGAACTTTAGTTCATCATGAACACTTTAGTTCATCATGAGAACTTTAGTTCATCATGTGAACTTTAGTTCATCATGTGAACTTTAGTTCATCATGTGAACTTTAGTTCATCATGAGAACTTTAGTTCATCATGAGAACTTTAGTTCATCATGTGAACTTTAGTTCTTCATGTGAACTTTAGTTCATCATGTGAACTTTAGTTCATCATGTGAACTTTAGTTCATCATGTGAACTTTAGTTCATCATGTGAACACTTTAGTTCATCATGAACACTTTAGTTCATCATGTGAACTTTAGTTCATCATGTGAACTTTAGTTCATCATGTGAACTTTAGTTCATCATGTGAACTTTAGTTCTTCATGTGAACTTTAGTTCTTCATGTGAACTTTAGTTCATCATGAACACTTTAGTTCATCATGTGAACTTTAGTTCATCATGAACACTTTAGTTCATCATGTGAACTTTAGTTCATCATGAGAACTTTAGTTCATCATGAGAACTTTTAGTTCATCATGAGAACTTTAGTTCATCATGTGAACTTTAGTTCATCATGAGAACTTTAGTTCATCATGAGAACTTTAGTTCTTCGTGAACACTTTAGTTCTTCGTGAACACTTTAGTTCTTCGTGAACACTTTAGTTCTTCGTGAACACTTTAGTTCATCGTGAACACTTTAGTTCTTCGTGAACACTTTAGTTCATCGTGAACACTTTAGTTCTTCGTGAACACTTTAGTTCATCGTGAACACTTTAGTTCATCGTGAACACTTTAGTTCTTTGTGAACACTTTAGTTCTTCGTGAACACTTTAGTTCTTCGTGAACACTTTAGTTCTTCGTGAACACTTTAGTTCTTCGTGAACACTTTAGTTCATCGTGAACACTTTAGTTCATCGTGAACACTTTAGTTCTTCGTGAACACTTTAGTTCATCGTGAACACTTTAGTTCTTCGTGAACACTTTAGTTCTTCGTGAACACTTTAGTTCTTCGTGAACACTTTAGTTCTTCATGTGAATGTGCCAGATGTTTCCATGGCAGGTTGATGGCATTATAAGAGCACATAGGATAAGAGAGAAACAACACAGTGACACAGATCAGTCCCTAAAATGCAAGTAGCATCAACAATACTTGACTGTTATTATTTCCATGATTTTAGAAGTCAAGCACAATTTAATAATAAAGTTTAGCCACAAATAAAATAAAACGTTACCAGTGTTTCACCGTTTCACGGTTAGGCGTCACAAATTCATTCTTTGCTGTAAATAGAGCTGTACCTTTTTAAAATAGGAACCACATGAATCTGGTTTAGTTGCGGAGGTCATTAGTATAAGCAGAGCCTTCTTTATATCAATCAAATCAGTGAAAACTTTATTTATATAGAACCTTTCTTACACAAAAAGGTTAGTGATGGTAGGCTTCACAAAACTAAAACAGTCCATAGACAAAGCATAGAACACGTGACTTTGTGATTGAAAAAAACATTAAATAGCAATAGAAGTAAGACAGGACTTAATAAAACGAGAATAACATTTAATTAAAAGTCAAATAACTGCCTCTTTTTGTTGTTTGTATTTTGTGGCTGTTGAGAAATGAAAATAAAAGTAACATTTTCAACATGTCCCTCTCTGTTGTGTTCAGGGTCCGACAGTACCTGCTGTAATGGAGTGACGTCCAATAAGAGCCACAGCACCCCCCCCCACAGTCACAAGCCCTGCCCCCCCGCCTCACCCCCCCCCTCCGTCTGACGTCAGTCTCAACGGGAGCCACAGCCAGACGCCCCTCACCAGGTACTGAACACACACACACACACACACACACACACACACACACACACACACACACACACACACACACACACACACACACTCCCTCTTAATGTGCTTATTCATGCTGTATTGTAATTAAACCCCTCAGACACTGCAACGCCCACACAGGAAACTTGAATCCACATTCACTTCAAGGGTATAAATCTACATAAATATATTACTGTGAGAAACAAGAATACTTTAAATCTGACTGACTCTAAACTCTGCAGATATTCTGAGAGGATAAACTCCTATATATGATAATGTAGGAAAACTGCTGTAGTCTACAAGAGGTAGGTAGGTAGGTAGGTAGGTAGGTAGGTGGGTAGGTAGGTAGGTGGATGGGTAGGTAGGTAGGTGGATGGATAGGTAGGTGGATGGATAGGTAGGTAGGTGGATGGATAGGTAGATGGATAGGTAGGTAGGTAGGTAGGTGGATGGATAGGTAGGTAGGTAGGTGGATGGATAGGTAGATGGATAGGTAGGTAGGTAGGTGGATAGGTAGGTAGGTGGATGGATGGATAGGTAGATGGATAGGTAGGTAGGTAGGTGGATGGGTAGGTAGGTAGGTAGGTAGATGGATAGGTAGGTAGGTAGGTAGATGGATAGGTAGGTAGGTAGATAGATAGGTAGCAGTACTGTATTGATCCCAATTTAGGAAATGATCCTGTTAGCAACAGCAGCAGGTTTTCGTGGCACGGAACAGAAAAAAGACACGGTAAATATATGGAAATCAACAATTTAAATGTATATCGACAGAATCTAAGATTACTCAATATAACATGTTAGGAAATACGTTGGAATACATTATAATATAACGGCTAAAGCTTAAATACAAACAAAGGATGCTGTATAAATGAGACTATTCTACAAAGCATGTCAATGCAAAGAGATAGCATGTGAGTTTAATATAATACTGACCAAAGATCTCCTTCCAAACAACAGGCTTAAGTTGCACAAACAATATAACCGGCCACCCTTTATACAGGTAAGTGAGAAGCTGCATCATTAGGAAATGTTGGGTAACTTAATACAACTATTTCTCAGTTAGTAAAACTTCAAATACTTACATTCAACACAAAAAGGAACACCTAGGCGTGAGTTGTTGACTTCAAACATGTCTGCTGGAAAGTTTTCGACATGAGATGTTACTCATGGTTTTAATCCTCAGCGACGCTATGATATCCCACTCATCCTTCCTTTATTAGGGTTAGTAGTGATCTGTAGCCCATAGCAACCCTCTGTCTGTCCTCAGTAGCGATGTGGACATGGAGGTGGACCACGTCTCCAACGGAGTCACAGAGTCGTCCTCCAACGGGTTCCTCAACGGCTCCAAACACGTGACCGAGCCCGACGAGTGTGAGGCAGACATGGGTACGGAAAGTGTGTGTGTGTGTGTGTGTGTGTGTGTGTGTGTGTGTGTGTGTGTGTGTGTGTGTGTGTGTCAGCATGGATACACGCATCAATAATGCTGGGTAAATATGCCACTGGTAAGGAAAGGTACGTTTATGTATAAAGCACATTTTAGCCAATACAACAACATTAAAAGCAATTGCTACGCTACTGTCTGTTACTGTTTGTTTTGTTGCTTTCTACTGTAAGACATGTGTTTGTTTAGTAAATCTGCTAACGAGCCCTCTCTGTTTTTGATTTATTCACCAACATCTTTTGCAAATCAGTCTCCTCTTTCGCTTTGTCTCCCGGTTATTTCATCTGTTGTTACTTCCCTTTTACTCTATAGCGTGATTTTAGGTATCTCTGAATCTCAACAGAACTTCCTTCAAAATGTATTTTAACACATATTTAGACTCAAACGGATATTGTGCTTCTTGCATTTTGGATATTAGACAGAACCATATTCACATTTGTTTTAATCATGCAGCTTTATTACCCTCGCGCTCCAAGTGCCTGTGCCCTCTCTAAAGCATAGACATGGCAGTGTACGATAACAATTAAAAGACTAGAAATAAACATTCCTACATTTAAACATCTCAATAGAAATAAAATAGCATTACAAAAATAAATGTATAAAATATACATGTGGTGTTTATATACAGCCCTACTACCTTATATTATAAGCGCTCCATCTAAATGACTGCTGTATATGTTCCCTGTTGAATGTCTCGATAGCTATTATTATGTATACATTTTTTTTGTTATACCCCTGGAAATAATTACTGCACTTTATTCTTACATAGGTTTGTATGCTGCTGCGTGTATTTGTTGTTGTGATGTTTTTGTTTTGATGGCACCTTTTTAAAAGGGAGAAGCTTTCCTTTCTTTCATTGTTTAAGGACATTAAATGATTCTATTCTGCAGAGGTGGAGTCAGCTCAGTCGAAGAGGCAGCTGTGCGGCGGCAGCCAGGCGGCGATCGAGAGGATGATCCACTTCGGCCGCGAGCTGCAGAGCATGAGCGAACATCTGCGCCGCGAGTGTGGGAAGAGCTCCACCAACAAGAAGATGCTGAAGGTAAAGGAATCGCTCGGTGCAACACGATCTGTTTGTGTCAGGACTGTCTTTAACGTTTCATTATACACTTTAAAACGGGTGCTTTTCTTACTGATACACGGCAAGCTATAATATGTTGAAAAGCATTCTGAAGAAACCTAAACAACCTTAACTGAAATAGAGGTACAGTGTTATTAGTATGACTCGATTCAGGTGGCGATAGCATGAATACAAAAATATATAAAAACTGAAGCAGCAGAGACTGAGATATTCGGACAAAATAAATTCTCATAATTTTTGTTCAAAGCAACTCAACAAAATCATATTTGTATTTAAAGGTCACCTATCATGCTATGTGTAGGCAATAGCATAGGTCTCAGATATATATATATATATATATATATATATATAAAAAACATGTCTATGAAGTGTCACCCATTCTAGCCATGCCCCATACCCCTCTATTTCACTTCCTGTTTCTAAAGTGCTGATTTGGGAATAAAGCTTTAAAAAAATTAAAATTGATAACAAAAAATAAAGAAGGAGGGTCTGAGCTCATGCGGGACCCGGCAGCTACTGTCTAAACTAAATGCTGCCGTGATGAAACGCCATATCATGGATCATCAAGGATTCTCTCTGAAACAGTTTGGAGCTCAAAGGCTTTCTCTCTTGCCGGTTATACCACAAGGTGAGTTCCTTTTTACTTCCTGCTTCTTCACACACATGCTCTGCAGTACAGGTTAGCTCTGAGTGTTAGCGATGCTAATGTAAACACCGACCATATTACGTCCAAAACAGTCGGGCATTGTTTCTGATAGCAACGTTTCTGATTGGGCCGTGGGTCCACATTTCAGATATTACGTCATATCGGACGCAAATCTGGATCAGCTCCGTTGTTCCCCGTTTTTAGAGATTTGGGTACGGAGGAAAAGAGAGAGGGTTTTATTCCCTGACGCTGCGTGAGTTCCCCGACACACCGGGGACACATGTTGATGGAGAGGAGACATCAAAAAGTGCATTTTGCATGATAATCTGAAAATAATCTGGACATAATCCATCCTCAAACTGCGACTTGGCACTTAAACGCTTCAGTTTTTGTACAAATGAAGCGTAAGTAATAAGATGGACCTTTATTAATCCCTGTGGGGAAATTCAGTAATTTGTCTACAAGTTAGTTTTAGAGGTGATGGCAGTAGCATTTTGGACTCGACAAGGCTCTTAATGCTAAGCTAAGCTAACCAGCCGCTTATGGTAACTTCAAACTTGGTGTCCAGACATGTGTTCGGTACAAACCCTCTCAAATATTTCAAAGCAAGAAAGCGCGTAAGCCTGTTTCCCCAAGATGTTGAACTGTTCTTTAAATTGTAACGCGCTGTAACGACACCAAACTAACCAGTTGTTCTTCAAGAAGATCTCACATGTTGACCTCCCTATATCTACTGATATCAGAATCAGGTTTATCACCAGGTAGGTTGACGCGTACGAGGAATTTGACTTGATGTCGTGGTGCAAACATAAAAATGTAATTTAAAAAAAATAAAAAAAACACAGAACTATTTTAAGAACACTATAATAACACTAAAAAATAAGAAGAAATATAGTAAAATTAAGCAGTAATTACATTGAAATAGAATGGAATAAAATATGTGTAGTAATAAAACAGATATCTTCAACATATCTGTATTTTGTGTGTCCTGCTGCAGGATGCCTTCAGCCTGCTGGCGTACTCGGACCCCTGGAGCAGCCCGGTGGGTTTCCAGCTGGACGCCATCCAGAGAGAGCCCGTCTGCTCCACCCTCAACAGTGCAATACTAGGTACGTAGCCATTATCAAAGACCCCCATCACCCCAGCAACAAACTGTTCTGTGTGCTGCTTCAGGACGGAAACCACCAGACTCAGACAGCTTCATCCCACAGGCCGTGATGCTGCGTTCACACGGGACGCGCCCGGTGTGAACGCAGCATCAGACTGTTGAACACCTGAAGTTTTGAAAGAACATCCATCTGTTTACAACTTACACATTATTTATCTAATATATCATATTCCAATCACTTGTATATAGACTCTCCTTCCACTATTTCTATTCTATTTGTATTGTATTTACTATTTTATCTGTGTTATTGTGTTGCTCTGTTGGAGCTGTAGTACCTTTACTAAAATAGAATATTTGAGTACTTCTTACCTTCAGTCCTGACGTTATTGTTGTTGTTGTTCCCTCCTCTTCCTCCAGAGACTCACAACCTGCCGAAGCAGCCCCCCCTCGCCCAGGCGGTGGGTCAGGCGGCGCAGTGCCTCTCCATCATGGCACGCACCGGCACCGGATCCTGCGCCTTCGCCTCTGTGGACGATTACCTGCACTAGCCCCATGCTTAAACACAACACACACACACACACACACACACTCTGAGGAACTGTCCAGAAACGCCTCCTTCCACCTCCTCCATCAGTGAAGTCGTATTAACGCTCCGATTAAAAAAAGTAGGCGAAAGTTCACTCGCTTCTGCTCACCGCTGAGGACCAGGAGACGTTTCTGGGCAGGTGTTTTAGATTGCTAACACATCGTACATTTAAAAAAACAAAAACATCCCTTTCCATCGTAAATATGAGAAAAAAACCCTCGCAAACAAACCCCTCTTTCCCCTCCTCCTCCAGTCCTGCAAGGCTGCGTCTTTCTGACTGACGGTGTGAAGACGCTATTAAAAGGGTAGCCGACTTGAAAAATAACTCTGTATACAAACCGACCGACAGACTGACAAAAAAAGAAACCCCTGGTCAAACATAAGTAGAAAAAACAAGTAGAAAACCGACGAGTGGTCCCTGTAAACCAGGTACACACACACACACACACACACACACGCCACAGGCTGATGCTGAAAACAGGACGGAAAATACATCTCCAATTTATCTCCGGTCAACTTAAGGCTCCATTAAGGATAGCCTAAATCCCCCCTTTCTCCCCCTTTCACCCCCTTTCTCCCCCTTTCACACCTCCACTCACTTCAGGACATTATCGGAGATTTGTGTGGCGCATGTGGACTCGGGACTTTGACGAAGCCGGAGAGAATCTGCAGTCTGAACTCCCTGTTTTTAATAATCTGTTTTTGTTTTCATGAGCAAATTTGCGGGGATGGGGGGGATGGTTACCTGGCTCTTGTTTTAGGTTTTTCCAGGTTTACAAGGCATCGGCGCAGACTATTATTATTATTATTCTTAATTATCATTATATTAATTATTGTTACTTGCATTCACAGTATATTTGTTGAGCGCCAGCAAGAGCAAGTTCCAGTTACTATAATAAAGGTCCCGATCCCATCGATCACCAGTGTGTACATGTTAACGTTTATATATGAATTTAACAAATGGAATTATATCAATAGAGTGAGATATTTAGTTATCAAATGAAAGGAAATCGTTTGAAAAAAAAAAACCCAATCCTTTAATGCTTTGTACCGACATCAGTGACTCCTGAAGCGTCGAGTTCTTATGTCGCTTGTTTTCTTTTGTCCAGGGTTCCTATGCAGGGGAACGATTATACATCTGACCATTTCAAGGTCTTTACGATGATTACATGTTAGATCATGGAAAACAAACTTAAACTAAATATATATAGATATCTGGAACTTTAATTTCACATATTTTGTTTCTAGCCGTAAAGTAATGTCTTTACCACAGCCTAGCTACATTTGGTAAAACCCTCTAAACTTTTCTGGGTTTTTCTGAGAAGTCGACCCTGTGCAGGAACCCTGACCTCTGACCCCCGTTAAACCCCCCGCTGCACAGCAGGTTTGATGCAAACGTTGTTAATCTTTATTTTCGTATCGATGTCTATGGTAAACCCCTTATCCCACAAATAACTCAAGAGCCAAACATGTCCCTCATGGTTTTAGAATCGGCCGACAGACCTCTCGATTACAGGTGGACTCGTTTTATTTTGTATTAAAAAAAACGCTTCAGACTCGAACGCCGGGAAACACAAGCGACGGCGAAACTGAGCTGCGATGAAGTGCGCCTCTCAATGAGCTTTGGGTCACTTTTACAGAGGGAAAGATAACGAGACTGCAGCAACGTTCACGCTACTTTATTTTACAAAAAAGGAAGTATTTTTGGGTTTATTTGTGGAAACCGTTTTAAGCGGAAAGAGTGGACTTTTTTAATGACAACAAAGAGACGGCATAGCAACTTCTGTGGTGCGAAGAGATCAAAACCCTGTAGAGTTAACGCCCCTAAATGTTTATAAGAGTTTATTTTTTCTCCCCGGTTCAACACGTGTTCAAGCTGTGTTTCCCCTGTTGACATTTTGGGTGACTCGTTGCATTTGAAAAAAGCGGAAGCTAGCAGGCTAGGCTAATTAGCCAAACCCAGAGGAACAGAGCCAGGCTTGGAGGCCAATTTCCGTAGTGGCCAAACCAGACCTACATCTGAGGAGACATCTTTTTAATCAACATTAACACTCAAGTAGCCCTCATCTAAACCATAAGGTCCAGACAAGTTTTAAAATGCACTTCTATCCAAGTCCGTTCTCTGTTCATTCAAACGAGGAGATGCTTGTGCGCCTGCTCTATGGGCCCATAGATGCGCCAATGAGCAACACCTCCAACACGGTATCCATTTCTCTTTAGTTAATCGTGGCTAAAGCTAGTTAGCTCATGAAGTTAGCCGCCCCCACACATTCGATCTTTGTCCAGCATTTTATGAAGGAGGACATCTTGTTTTTATCATCTATAAATCCAAATCAAACACCAAGGGGATATATGTGCTGAGTTATTAGCCGACATTTCTGTTATTTCTGGTTTGGGTCAATGTTGGGTAGCAAAAGTAAAATGTCTTTGTTTTCAGTTTGTCAGATAATAAACCTCAACCTTGTTTGAATGCTAGTTTGATCTCTCGTAGCATTTTGCTGATAAACAAGTTATAATTGATATAGCTCCAGTTGAAATGGAGTGGTGCAGCAATTGAGATTTGTGTAAGTTATCCTCTTCCTGTTTCCCTCCACAAACAGCCAATGGGATTTCTCTATTGGATTTGGAATATTGCAGAAAATAATATCTGCAGCAAATAAACGTTTATGATAGCTAACGTTAGGCTATAAAGGAACTACAGCACGGTCACATGACTTTACGTATCACCGCTAAGCTAAAGGTGGCTAATGTTGGGCGTGATGACGTTTAGTCCTCTCATTTAGACACTTGTTACAACCACTGCTTACGTATTTATTGTGGTCAAATAAAAATCTCTAGCCCATTGACTTACAGAGGGAACAGGAAGTGCTAACTCATTCCTGCACCACTCGTTCAGGAATGAAAGGCCCTAAAGTTGGCTTATCGTCCCTCAGAGGAAAGCTTTCTCTTCTCTCTAGCTTTTCAGTTTTGTTACAGAGTCCTTGCGTTTCTAAAAGCATCGACGGGGAAAATAAAACAATAAAAAACCTTCAGTATTGTCAACACCACATTTACAAAAATAAAGAACCAAATACTTCGGGAAGGGTCTCTGGAGGAACCGAGCTTTTCTGTCCCTTGGTTTCTCTTCGTTTGTTTTTCGGATCGCAAGCAGTCACGGCATCGTTTAGAAAACTTCTTAGACAAAGTGTCTGTCATTTTCTGAGTACGGTCTGAACCCTATGCATGCCATAGTAAAGTGGTGGTAAGATCAAGTTAGATGTCGCTATTCTTTTTTGTTTCTCCGCTGGTTAACGGTGTGTAAGGAAGATGTCAACCAGTAAGTTGTCCACTGCTGACTGTGTGTCCATTTGGAGAAAAAAAAAGTGCAATTTGTGTGAGGGTGAAAAGATTTATATTAAAAAAATGACAAACGATGATTGACGAGTCTGGATGCTGCATGACGCCCAGAGAGGGAACGGTTTTATCCTGTTTGACAAGAAACTACCTTTTAAAAAAAGGTGATTTGATTCTAATAACACTTACACACACTACAACAACTCTAAATCTTGCCCAGTATATGTGTCTAATATCTAGTCAGAATGTGTCTCTCTCTACACCTGATATAAGACGTAACTTCAGAAGCAACACTGCAGTGAGATATCGGGTCTTGTTTTTAGACAAAACATGTTATTTTGAATCGTATCTCAGATGAAATGCATATTTATTAGAAAATCACCAACATCAGAAAACTTTTGAGCATTTGTGGATTATTTTGTAACACAGCATTTCCTGATTCTGGTCAAATATAGTTAAATGAGTTCTCCAGATAATTACAAGATGTGATTTATCTAAATATCCCTTCTTACTTCAAGGAATCTCACTAAGCTAATGTTCATTCGTTCTATTGGCAGGCGTTTGAACTTATTTCAAGTGAAAACACCTTGTTTTTATTATTGTTTAACTTGTTTTGGAGCAGCATTTGTTAACAGTGCATAACCCTCAAAGGAAAAGTCCACCTATAAAATCTGCACCCTCTTAATAACTGACCAAACATATGGTCTATAAGCCTATTTAAATTAATGGTTCATCTGTGAGTCTGTAATGGAGAAAAAACGTAAAAATAACGTTTCCAGAATCAGTTGTGACGTGAAAACCTGGACAATATTACATTCTTAAGCCGAAAACTAACATTTGAGTTCCAAAAAACTACAAGCAACTTAAAATTAAATGAATAACTCCTTTTAATTTGCTTATTTTCAACAATATATGCATTTTATGGGGCATGTTATTGTTAAAAAATAAGGTTATTTGTGTTATATGGACAAACTGCACCCTCTTAATAACTGGCCAAACATAGAAATAAGCCTATAATTTAAATTAGTGGTTACTCTGAGTCTATTGGGAAAAAAACGTTGGCAGAATTAGTTGTGACTTGAAAACCTGGACAATATTACATTTTAAGGCCAAAAGTAACACTTTAGTACCACACAACTATAAATAACTTATTCAACTTCTTTGATTAGCTTCTCACCAATATATGCATTTTGTGAGGCCTGTTCAAAAATAAGGTTATTTGTGTTATGTTGGTCAAACTGAAGTGAAAGTAGTACCGACAGTTTCTAAATTACTGTTTTATCCAGTTTTTCCAAGAAATTACCCTTAAAAAAAGCGATTTTATTGTAATAACATGTATCCTCAAAGGAAAAGTCCACTTATAATATCTGGACCCTCTGAATAACTGACCAAACATATAAAAATAAGCCTATCATTTAAATTAGTGGTTAATCTGTAAGTCTGTAATGGGGAAAGAAACGCAAAAATAACGTTTTCAGAATCAGTTGTGACGTGAAAACCTGGACAATATTACATTTTTAAGACCAAAACTAACATTTGAGTTCCAAAAAACTATAAGCAACTTAAACTTAAATGAATAACTCTCCAATATATGCATTTTGTGGGTCATGTTACTGTTCAAAAATAAGGTTATTTGTGTTATATGTTGGACAAACTTAAGTGAAAGTAAAGCAACAGTTTCTAACTTAGCTCAAACATTATTAGTACCTGATTCAAGACTTAAAGGTTTATCGTCATTACATACACTATGTTGTAATTTATGAAAAGCTTAGATCACAGGTTCCTCAACAGTGCAATTAACAGACAAATAAACAAAGATAGCTCTGCTCAGGTGTTTAATATCTGTACGTCTCTACTTAAAGAGCATTAGTTTATTAACTTGATCCCAAAGTAGACGTTTAAATGCTTATTTAGACCAATAATATGTAATTAGCCGGTTTAAATGATGAACACGTGATCTTAGAGAAACTGTTTTATTGTAGAGCATAAAAAGTCTCAACTCATTTTTCTCTGAGCTTTTAATCACATCTCAGTCTTTCAAACATATTTACAGAAATAACAAGCTTTTAATGAAACACATGGTACAGAAAACGAAGAGCAGGTCATGTGATCTACAGGTGGGAAGTCTACCTGTGAATCCACACGTCCTGCTCTTTAATGAACCGATGTAGAAACGTCTCAGTTCAGAAACAACGTTTTGAAAAATACCAAAAACGATCTGCTGCAAATGTTCCCGTTTCTTTTCCCGTGAGTCAGGGCTAGACGGCGAATTACATTTAGATATCCTGTTAGACTTGTGATATCGGAACAGATTAAGATTATTTTCCTGGTCGTATCGGCTGCATTAAAGTAAAGTAAGGTTACAAACTGTACCAGACTGTTCATTAATCAAAAACAATAGTCAACCCTACAATATATTCACACGATGGAAAGAGATGTACGAACAGACATGATATTTGATGTTACATCATTTCGAACAGATGCATCTTGAATCTCTATTTGAGTTGTTGCAAATCCCATAAGTCAACATCAGTCCGTCCACCGCCTCTCCTGACGTCTTCCTCCAGGTTTCCGTGCGTTCAATTCACCGTAAAGGCTCCTCTGGTGGACGTGATGTCGTCAGCAGGGGATCTGCTGCTTGTGGATCCATCTCTTCTTCAGCTTCTCTGCTTTGGCTTTCTCACTGCAGGCTGAGCACAGACACGAGGGATTAGACGCCGAGAAAATATAGATGTATTCAGTCTGCATGTTGACTCATCTGGGTCAGTGTGCCATCGGGACACACGTCGCACTACAACACATTGAGCCATAACATGTCACTTCGTTATGTCATTAAACCGGCTTTTCCTTCAATCATCTGATAAAACATTTTATTTATAGGGCGATTTTCTAGAAACTCAAAGACACTTTACAGTCAAATTCATAAAATATATAAAACACAACATTATATAAAAGCAGGGGTGTCAAACTCAATTTCATCGCGGGCCACATTCGCATAAAGGTTGCACTCAAAGGGCCGGTTGTAACTATATAAAATAATGTATTACATTATTGCCTCTGCATTGGATTATTATCGGGTAGGATAATAACTTAGTAATTAACGTCTGAAAGCAGAAGTCCAGGGCAAATAATTGCAAGTCTCTTCAGTGCGCATGTCACAAAACGAGATGCATTGTGGGACATGTAGTTTATGGGCAACCTGCTTCTGTAAATGTAACCGTATAATAAACCTATTATATTCTTTGCAAGCTCTTGCGGGGCCACAGAAAATGAAGCCGCGGGCCGGATTAGGCCCCCGGGCCTTGAGTTTGAGACCCCTGCGCTAAAGGAAAGGAAACCTGTTCATTGTTCTTTTGTAAATGATATGGGATCATTTATAAAAGCACAAACGGAGATTCTTGCCCTGCGTAAGGTTCGCTAACTGGTCCCTGATTTTAAGTTAATTACCTGTTTTATTTCTATATGATGAAACACTTTCAATACAAATCCTTATGACTCATGTGGCTTGATTCCAAGTGAACGGGTCGATTTGACTTTGAACCGAAGAGGCGTCTCGTCTCTATCAACATCAACAAGTTCGATAATTAAAACAAATGTATTTTATATCAAGGTTTTTCCAATGTAGAAATACGTTTGAATTAAGTGACTTATTCTAATGATCTGAGACGTAACTAAGGTCTGTGGTTGAGACTCATTGAAGAGACGGGTCACGTTTTGTTCTACATTAAATCATCAGCAGTGACCCCACTGGTGATTTCTGAAGAGTTGACGTGTCTGAGAAACGATGGTTGTTACCAAGTGGCTGAATAGGACTACAGAAGTCGTGGAGGTCGTTGTACGTCATTACGCCGAACACGTGAACACTCCTCTAAGTTAGTTTCTGTTCTGCTTGAAAGCAAGTCCCTGCCTCCTGCAGAGTGTTCAAACAAACGCTTCAACTCGTTCCATCTAGAATCTGTGAGTTTGAATATGGATCTGAAGTTGGCGTGACGTTGAAGTCGTGCTGCTGGACTCGCTGTAGTTCCTTTATAGCATCACGTTAGCATTTAGCTTCGATTAGATTTATGATTCGAACATTATGAAAGTAGGGTAGACATGTGGAGATGAACAGGTTTGTTTTGCACAGACCTTATTTCCAGCTCTTTTCCTAAATCTATGGAGAAATCCTGTTGCTTTTAGTCGAGGGAACCAGCAGCTTACTCCCGGGTCAATGCGTCATCCCTGCTCCGCTCTATTGCACTAAATATTGACTCATTGATAGCAATAAAAGGTACCAACTATGTACAGTCTAAAAATCAGGACGCGGGGGTTTCTGACCATTGCACAAACATGCACTGGGTCACATTGAGCCAGGGTATTATTGATTTGACAGAGAAACAAAGATAACAGGAGGAGAAGACATTCAGTCTGCATAGTGACTCAACTGGGTCAGTGTGACACCAGGACACACGTCGCTCTGAAGCAACACGTTGGGCAACATAAGTTCCCTCATTATGTCATAAAACCTGCTTTTCCTCCAATAATCTGACGTTATTAAAATGCTCGAGCAGGAGACTCATTGCTGACACTGTCGGAGCTATATTTTGCTTTATATTATTTAATAGTTAAGCTTTTATTTTCTAGACATTTATAGTGAATGTATTCTTAAATCAGTGTTATTATTTAAGTGAGTTAAAGTCGTTTTTATGCTTTTTTTTTTTTAACTCAATTTAAAAAGCCCAAACTGTGGCAGTTATTCCACAATGAAGTTAAATGGTTAAAACCTTACCCCAGTCTTTATTGACAAACGTCACCGCTGCACTTTTGTTCCTCCCCTTCTTGTTCTCCAGGGACAGCAGCTCGTTGCCTGGAAGCACAGACACACGCTTACATATAAATATCATTTATTTAACCAGGTAGAAGTCTCATGAGATTAAGGTCTCTTTTTTACAATAAAACCGCCACCGGGGTCAAATTGACCCGGTATTAGAATGCATTGATTTTCAAGGTAAAAGTATTGCTTTAAAAAGAAAAATGGTATTGGTATTTTGACAAGCAATTTTGTTAAATTGTTTCGTTTATTAACGGTACAACATAGCGTTTCGTGAGGCAGTTGTCGTTGTTGGGTGAAAAGCAAACAGCTGTTTGCTGCGCAGCGCGAGCAGTCTCCCGTGAGGGTGAGCGCGCTCCTTCACTACAGACTGTCGCTATCAATATGTCTCTCTCTCTCTCTCAATCTATAAGGAACCGCAGTAGACAAAAGGCGTTGCTATAGCAACACGTCATGTTTGTTTACACTCAAAATCAATAGCGCGAAAAGGGGTGGGGTCAATATGACCCGCTGGGCGGAAATAGGTATAAATGGCAATTTTTTGGCGATTTCTTCAATCTGACTTCATATTGACCATTTTTAACAACATAGGGTGCTACATAACACACTTTCAGGAAAAGTCACGGACTGGGAGACTTTAATATGTTGTTGAAAAAAAGTTACATACAATAAAAAACAGCTCTTGGCGGTTCTAGTGTTAAGAGCGACCTGTCCAAGAGGGCCGTTTCTAGCTGTTTGGACTACAATGGGGGGCGAAGCCTTTCAGAGGATCTGTGGAGACGCATCAGTCTGTTACACTTTAAGAGCAAAACAGGCTGATTCACGAAAACAAAGCAATTGAAACGTACACACAATGATATTAAAAAGGTAAACAATAAGGCTCCTCTACGTCAATGAATGCAAGAGATGCAGCATTTTCTCAACAATGATATTTTTCATCTTCCTCAGACGTCACTCATTGGCTGACAGCCCAATGATGATTTGGGCTTTATTACCCCAAAACACAAGCCTCAGCTTTGCTATCGTTGTGTTTATATCCTACATTTGATTTGTAAGCATATCATGCTTCACCGAACTCAGGAGGGGGCTCGGCTGTCGACAAATAAAGACGGCTCTTTTAATCCTCCCCAAATATATTGAGGCTGAACCTGAACTTTCAGCTTGGAGGCCCCCTAGTGGGCGCGTGGGGGCCTCCTAGTGGGCGCGTGGGGGCCTCCTAGTGGGCGCGTGGGGGGCCTCCTAGTGGGCGCGTGGGGGCCCCCTAGTGGCCGCGTGGGGGCCCCCTAGTGGGCGCCTCCTAGTGGGCACGTGGGGGCCCCCTAGTGGGCGCGTGGGGGCCCCCTAGTGGGCGCGTGGGGGCCCCCTAGTGGGCGCGTGGGGGCCTCCTAGTGGGCACGTGGGGGCCCCCTAGTGGGCGCCTATGCATCTGCACAGCCCGCCGATAGGAAGAAACGGCCCTGACGAGAGGGAGCATGAACAAAGTTACAACAAATTAACACAAAACAATACAGGCAGACGAATACAGCTGTAAAACACTAATGAAACATTAAACATCAACCAGTCAATATGCAAATGAAATAACTGTTATCATTTAAAAATACTTGAATGATGGGATATAAGAGCAATCACGTCGACCAATGGATTCTTGTTCTCTGTCCTTTAAGATGGACTTAACCCCATAGTGATACAATCTGAGAGTTTCAGCTCCTTCTGTTTTCCAAGCAGAAGGGGCTGCATATTGAAATAATATTAATTTATTGATATTAATGTGGCCGTCTCTCTGCAGGGATCAGATCAGAACTCAAATTGAGACAGATCATCGTCTGTCACAGAGAGCCTGCGTTTAAATCACATTTCAGGGTAAAAAAAAAATCACCAAAATGCCGTTAGTAAGTGTGCATTATACACCTGGCTGCTACATCCTCAGAACTGTTACAGGATGTGTTTTTTGTAAATCGTGTAACTTTTATTATAAGCGGTGTGGAGGGGGAGTGGGAGCGGTGTGGAGGGGGAGTGGAGCTGTGTGGAGGGGGAGTGGAGCGGTGTGGAGGGGGAGTGGAGCGGTGTGGAGGGGGAGTGGAGCGGTGTGGAGGGGGGAGTGGAGCGGTGTGGAGGGGGAGTGGAGCGGTGTGGAGGGGGAGTGGAGCGGTGTGGAGGGGAGTGGAGCGGTGTGGAGCGGTGTGGAGGGGGAGTGGAGCGGAGTGGGAGTGGAGCGGTGTGGAGGGGGGGAGCATTTTATTATAAAGTTGTGTATATTTACAGACTGTACAAACTAAGAAGCTTATAAACATCAGGTTTAAAACTAAAGAGCTTTGAAACACAATGAAAGATGTTTGGAGTTTTATTTGAGTTATTCATTTAAACTTTTTGTCAAAGAGAAGCTGATTTGAAACCGTTGTTACAAACAGTTACGGCATTTCCTGTTTCTGCCGGAGAGAGGAGAGGCCGTCCCAAAGCTTGCTGCTGTGTTTACTCCCTCCATCTGACAGGAGGGAGCCTCGTTGAGCTGCGAGTGGGAGTGGGTAGGGTGTGGTTTGGAATTGGGCCTACACGTCCCTTTTTAGGCGCTTTTATCCAAAGCTACTCACATGCAATCTCCACAGCTTCTCTTACTCACTGTACATTTATATTCAACGTAATATTGCATTCCTCACACACTTCATGTATATATGATATCCTGCTTTATATGTTGTTGACTGTTATAATTTCAACATGTATATTTTAGTTTTATTTCCATTTGAGATTGTTGAGGTGCAGTGTTGGTTACCCCCCCCCCCCCCCCCACTCACTTGTGGTCCGGCAGCTCCCGGCTCCATAGAGTCTGCTCTGCAGGAAGTCCTCAGCTGTCTGACGCTGAGACGCCTCGGACGCTCCGTGCTTCACCGTCTGCACCGTGTACTTCCCCTTCAGACTGAAACCGTTTCAATACACAGTCATCAGACAAAGCTTCCTCTTATGCCTAACATTTAGAGGGGTTTCTTATTCCTTTTAATGCAACATAAGTAGGGTTGCCCCTCATAGTCGACTTATCGCTAGTCGACTAATGGAGTCTTAGTCGCGCAATTCTTCATTAGTCGTTTAGTTGGGAAAAAAAAAAGTATAAGTATATATATATATATATATATATATATCATTTCTGTGTGTAAAATTAAATGTATTTTTTAAAGGCTCATTACTACAGTTTTATATGTATCAACGTAGCGTGTTGTTTCTAATAACGTTCTATCTCAGCCCTGGAACTGAAACCATTTTTAAAAAAGTAAATAAATAATAATATATCATAAACATGCAACGATTAGTCGACTAATCGCCTAAATTGACGAATATTGGTCGACTATAAAAATCTTCAGTCGAGGGCAGCCCTAAACATTAGGAGTAACTAATTAAGTGTATTTCCAACAGCAGAGGAAATGTTTTAACTTGCTCTGTAACTAACATACTTTTCTTGATTAACTAAAAGGGCCCTTCAATGTAAGCAGTGCAGCGGAAACACGTTATAAAATGAACCTCATCCCAGAGTCATGTCTTCAAAAATTATAATTTTGATCAACCGCAAAACTCCAACAGTCCCTAACCCAAATATATTTAATTACCAGCTTTCAGCACAAAAAAGGGAAGCTAAAACTCATATTGGAGAATCTGGAACTAGCAAATGTACGGCCGGATTGCTCCCCTCCAGACGGACACACAGGAAACTGATCAGAAACCGTTTCCCTAAAAACAGCTGGAGAGTTGACCCTTCGTTAAGCTACTCTGATGATCAGTTCAGAGTTCAAGTCATCCAGCAAGTCCATACAAATAGATTTACGTACTTTCTGGCATTAGCAAGTTTCCCACTCTTCTTCTTCCTCTTCTTCGTCTCCTCTCCTCCTTCTTCCTGCTGCTCGTCTTCAGCTGGAGGAACAGAGTCACACGGATCAGAAGCTGCTTTTACAAACAGTCAGGAAACACTCAGAAACATGTGTGCAGTAAAGAGTCCTGGATCAGGAGTATGGAGCGGTGCAGTGACGCGTCCTAAAACCAGGAAGTGAGTCAGCATTTCTCCACTTCCTGTTCCCTCGTCTCAGAGCCAATGGGATAGCTCAGTGGTTTTTATCCCTGGTGGGTCGCGGAGGTACTGCAGGGGAGGCGCGGGAAGATTTTTTTATTTTATTATTTTCTCCTTTTAGCTTTGTGAAGCACCTTGAGATGACGTTGTTTTTAAAGTGCAGCTATATAAATCAAACGTATTATTATTATTATTCAATTGTAAACAAACACTGCTCGAAAATATCTCATTGGTCAGAGAGCTGTGGGCTAATGCTGCCTTTTGCAACATCCTACTTTAGTGAGATCGGCTTTTCTTGCTGCCATCAAAACGAGATACAGATCAAAGCTGAACATTGAGAATGAACTGAGAGTGTCTCAAAACAACAGCCCCGCTTTGAGGAGATCTGCGAGGGAAAGCAAGCACACGCAAGTCATTGATGAGCTATGTGTGGAATAGGAATGGTCAAGTGATGTGATCGTTTCAGTAGAAATAGTAGTTCATTAATATATTTTCCTTAACACTAGAACCGCCAACGGGTACATTTTACCCGCAGCTGTTCTTTGACTGTATGTAACTTTTTTTCAATAACATATTAAAGTCTCCCAGTCCGTGACTTTTCCTGAAAGTGTGTTATATAGCATCCTCAGTTGTTAACAATTGTCAATATGAAGTCAGATTGAAAAACTCGACAAAAAAAATGCCATTTATACCTATATCCGCCAGCGGGTAATATTTACCTCATAGAAAATGCAGCGTAAACATGACGTGTTGCTATAGCAACGCCTTTGATCTACTGCGGTTCCTTATAGATTGAGAGAGAGAGATAGATAGATGGATAGATAGATAGATAGAGAGATAGACACACAGATAGTGTAACATCTTGGAGAATACAAGATCTTGGATGACTGAGCTCACGTTGAGGACGTAATGCATGTGTGCAGGTTACGTGCCAGTTGAAATGGACACTCTGAATGAGAGAAGTAGTCCGCGTCGTCTGTTTGTGTAGACAATTATATGTCCATAGAACAGAACATTACAGATAGTTATAGATGGATAGAGAGAGAGAGATTTGTACCTAAACAAAACACAAGTCTAACACCAAGTGTTTAAATCAGCATTCTTAGCGATATGTTATACTTCATGCTATCTGCACAAACTATATCATACGAAAAGCTGAGAGTCCACAGATTCTATTGGTATAAGTTTCATCCCTGTGCGATCAAAACTCACTGTTCTGTATGATCAATAAAATAACATTGTACCTTGCAAATCAATAGCGGGTACATTTTACCCGTTGGCGGTTTTAGGTATCCAGCGACCTCTGGCGGTTCTAGTGTTAAAGATGTTTGAATTTAAAAATCTACTACTCAGGGAAGAAGGCCTGCTAGTTTTAATTAGGCCAAATTAATTCACAGTATCTATTACAAGCACTTTTGTTCATGTGTAATCCATAATAAAATATAAAATTATATATATTATAATTATTATTATTATTATCAGAGAAAATGTAATGTTTTCACAACAATTAATCCTACCAATATAGATGGGAACCAGGTTGGGGGGTCCCGAAAATATTTCCAATTACCCAAGGGGGGCCCGACTGAAAAAGTTTGGGAACCACTGGGATAGCTGGAACTAAGGTCTGTGGTTGAGACGCATCGAAGAGACGGATCACGTTTTGTTCTACATTAAACCATCAGCAGTGACCCCACTGGTGATTTCTGAAGAGTGGACGTGTCTGAGAAACGATGGTTGTTACCAAGTGGCTGAATAGGACTACAGAAGTCGTGGAGGTCGTTGTACGTCATTACGCCGAACACGTGAACACTCCTCTAAGTTAGTTTCTGTCCTGCTTGAAGATTTATGATTCGAACATTATGAAAGTAGGGAATACATGTGGAGATTATCCGGCTGAACAAAACGTGCATTTATCAAACAGGTTTCCACAGACCTTATTTCCAGCTATTTTTCAAAATCCTCTGGAGAAATCCCGTTGTTTTTAGTCGAGGGAACCAGCAGCTTACTTCAGGGTTTAGGACGCGTCACTGCACCGCTCTATTTGAGCCGCATTTAAGCTGATTTTGTTTTGATCTACTTAACTTTTATTAATGCATTTGAGCCTCAGTGAACAGATTAAAGTTTAAGCTCCATTTTGATATTGTTTTCGTATTTTGATTACGTTTTTTTGGCAATAAATGTTCAAGATCAATAAATCAAAACGACCAGTGGATGTTTTACCCACTGATACACTCTCCACGTGGCCAACAAAGGAACATTCAGGAATAAGGAGTTACAAAATAATCTCATGGGATTTTAGCCACTGCAAAGGGTGATTTGGGGAAACTCGTTGGCCTCAGTGAGGAGGCGGAGAGGTGTGATTAGAACTATAGAATTAATTTGATAATGATTTGATAAAGACCCCCCACATTTAATGCAGTCCATCGTTGAGTCTAATTGGACATTTCTGACAGATTTAAGGAAATTCCCTCAAGACGTTCCTGAGAAAAGATGAGCCAGAGTCAATCCTGAGGGCAGAAATCTTCCTCACCTTCGTCTTCAGACGGTTTCTGCTTCCTGTGAAGTAGAGCAGATGTTAGCGACGGAGGAGAAACGGATTGAAATGAAGAAGCTGCAGAATTCAATCAGACCGGTAAACTCACTTTGAGTCGATCTCCTCCAACACGGCGGCCGGTAAGAGCTTCCTTTTCTGGGGGAAACAGCAGAATGATTATTTCATTGCACATTACAACCACATGGGTAAATGTCATTTTCTGTCACTGTAAATATGACAATTTGAAAAACAGGGATTTATTAATACCTGCCATGGTATATTAATTATTTCCCAAAATAAGTTTCCTAGTGCCTGAAATCTGATTGCTGTTAATGTAAAGGCTATTCTAATGGATACTACAAAACACATTTAGACAAGAACTGTCTTTAAGCAATCAATAACAGCAACCATCGAGTCTGTGAAATGGTTTTAACGGACATTTTAAAACACACTTACCTTCTGTTCCTGGAATAATTCCTGTCTCTTCTTCCTCTTCTCTTTCAGCAGCTCTTTGTCCCTGCAAACACACACACACACACACACACACACACACACCACACACACCAACACACACACACACACAACACACACACACACACACACAACACACACACACACACACACACACACACACAACACACACACACACACACACACACACACCCACACACACACACACACCTTGAGTGGGTTCTGTTCATATCCCCATTCAAATTGTCCCAAAATAGAGCTTCACTAAAAAAAACTACATAGGTCTTCCTAAAACCTGCACATTATGGTAGCGGTGTGCATTTGTGAACCAAACACACACACAGAGCTGATCAGTGCTAAATATGAAAGCCGAAGTGTCAAATGTGTCCAAATTAATCAGAATATGTGATAATGTATTTGTTTGGAGATTTTTTTCTGACTATTATTACGAAAAAAACCTTAAAAGTGAGATTATTTTGGATGCTGGTTCTTTACCTTCCGGAGTTATTAATGTACCTAGTTACTTCCCAGCTCTGTCAAATACACATATATAAGGAGCTGATCAGTGCTAAATATGAAAGCCGAATTATAGTGTGTGTCCAAATAAACCAGAATATGTAATAAATTATTTGATTTGGTTCATTTTTCCTGACTAATATCACGAAAAACCTTAAAAATCTGGGATATTTTAATGGAGTTTGGCTGGTTCTTAACCTTCTGGTTCACACATGTATTTATAAAGAGCTAAATATGACCGCAGACGTGTAAAATGTGTCCTAATAAATCAGAATAATACATTTGTTTTGGAGACTTTTCCGGACTATTATGAATAAAAAACATGAAAAGTCTGTTTTTCAAATGGAGTTTGGTTACCTCCTCGCGGTGTCCAGCGCGAGCTTCATGCTCTTCAGAGCCTGAGCCTTTGAGTCTTCAAACGTCACTTCTTCTGGAGCCTCATCGTCGCTGGACTCCAGTATCAAATTGAAGTTATTCGAGTGTTTCTCCATCTTTAGAGACGAAGATGTTACCCCACGTTGTTTCTTCACCATGTTGGCTGGAGAAGAAGAGACGTCATCAAGCCGCGTGGTGACGGACATATCATGGGACAAATGGGAACGACTGCCCCCTAGCGGCGGAGAAGAGAATTACCAATAAAAACATGAACAATGCAAAATAAAAAAATCTACTTTAATTGGAAAGTCATTAGCGCTGTTTTTATTAAATATATTGTTTTCAAATATTATCATTATTCTATTATTATTATAATTTGTTTTAATATAACTGTTTTATTTTTTATATAATTGTTTGTATTATTTATTTATTTAATTTATTGAATTTATTTAACTTATTTATTTATTTATTTTATTTAATTTATTTATTTATTTTATTTATTTTATTTATTTTATTTATTTTATTTATTTTATTTATTTTATTTATTTTATTTATTTTATTTATTTTATTTAATTTATTTATTTTATTTATTTTATTCATTTAAAATGATTTGTCGTAGTTGTTTGTATTTTTTTTACACATTTTTGTATTCATGTATTTTTCATTTATTGTACTTTTTATTATCATTTTTTGTATTTTTTTGTTATTATGAGTTTATCCATATCATTTTGATTTCTTTCTTTATTGTATTTGTATTATACATTTTTGTATTTATTATTATTATTTGTTTATTTATGTTTTTTTTATTTCTCTCTTTATTGTATTTTTCATTATAATTCCTTGTATTTTTTATTATTACCTCTCATATTAGTTTTTTCCACAGGCTTTGGGAATAAAGACCAAAATAAGAACACGTTATTGATGTCAGTTTATTCATCATGTAAAGCGGCAGTTTGTTCACACATCAGGAAAGTCTCTTCATTGATTTCATCCACACTGAGCTCATCAATCCTCTCCTTATTGATTATGATCAGGATGAGTACACCTCTAAAATACCTACAATAACAAACACATGTGGTTATTACATATTATTATTATTACATATCATTTAGCTGACGCTTTTATCCAAAGCGACTTACAATAAGGGCAAAGACCATACATAATCGACAAGTGCAGATATATTCACTTCAATCAAGATCATACTTAATAAGAGCTGGTGAATCAGTTACAAGGCCTAAATTAACTCAACAAGTGCTTCGTTTCTTTTTTCAGAAATAACTTAACTGCCAAGGTACAGTTGAAATTGATGTGTTTTCAGTTTGCGACGTTATAGACGTCTTTACAAATGATCAGAGAACAAGGTGTGCAGGATAAAGGAGGTCTGCTTCCTCTCTGCAGAGCCCTGCAGTGGAAGAGAAACAGCAGCAAAGAAACACATGAATACAAATCTTCCTCCGACATGTGGACGCAGAGAAGAGTTCCTGCAGAGAAACACACACACAGCTAAAGGAAGTCAAACACTTACTCAACAACTATAGATAAAGTTACTGCCCCTAGCGTTTGATTGACAGCTGAGAAACACCACAACAATCAGCCAGCAGTGTTAGTTCACTTAATGATACAAAAAGGTCCCCTATTATTATATTTTTCAAAAATATATCACAAGTCTCAGATATAAGTCTCCCAAGTGTCAATAAATCATTGTAGCGTCCCATAATCCCCTCTGTTTCAGCCCGGTTTCAAAAGTGCTGATTCTGTGTTTAGCTTTAAAGGCTAATGAGCTGCTGCTGACCACGCCCCTCTGAGAGATGATTGGTTATAAAAGAACACAATCTTTGAGGAAAAAGTCTGAGAACCCAGTGATTCACTTCTGTCTAGATGAGTTTACAGAACTCTGCATTTTTTCCAAAGTCCAGCATGCAGCGGCTCAGTGAAGATGGTCTGAACTCTGAGGAGGAGGGTCATGGTGTCAGTGAAGCTGTAGAAAAACCCCTGCATCGTGATCCAGGTACACTCCGGTTTCACGTGAATATTTTAAGAATCCAGTTCTGGTTCTGGGCTCTGGTTCTGGGCTCTGGTTCTGAGCTCTGGTTCTGGGCTCTGGTTCTGGGCTCTGGTTCTGAGCTCTGGTCCTGGGCTCTGGTTCTGGGCTCTGGTTCTGGGCTCTGGTCCTGGGCTCTGGTTCTGGCTGTAAAATACCCACTTCAGTCCCCTTCAGTGAGATAATGGTCCACTTCTTTCTCATCACGTCCTCAAAGCATCTCAGAGGACGGACGTTGATGCTGAATGATCCTGTAGATTCACTGACAGGTGGCAGCTAGTTAGAAACTAGGTGTGATACACAATGAGTTTAAGAAGAGTTCCTCAAATGACTTCAGGCTATTTCTGTTTACACAACTCAGCTGTGGTTTCATAATAAAGCAACACTCCAGCATGTAGCGGCTGAGTGAATGTGGTCTGGACTCTGTGGAGGAGAGTCATGGTTTCAGAGACGCTGTAGAAGGACAGAACGCCTGCTCTGTGATCCAGGTACACTCCTACTCTGGAGGAGCGAGGACCTGAGACGGGAGTGTCGATACTGTTGTAACTAAATGTATAACTGTTTCGGTCACACTCTAACGCCCAAGATTTGTCATTGAATCCAAATCCACTTCCCCACCCTGCTCTGCTGATATTCTTGTATGCGACTGCTACAGAAACTCTTCCCCCTCTCCACTCCACCTCCCAGTAACAACGTCCAGTCAGACTCTCTCTACTCAGGACCTGAGACCATACAGCGAATCTGTCTGGATGACTGGAATAATACTGTTGTTGTTCCGTGAGTGTTGCTTTTCGGTTCCCCTCAGATAATAACAGTTGTATGTGTGCTGTGTTTAGATCCAGATTGATTTCACGTGAATATTTTAAGAATCCAGCTCTGGTCCTGGGCTCTGGTTGTGGCAGCAAAACATCCACTACAGTCCCCTGAAAGGCAGGAGATTCATAGCGAGGCTGGAGGTGTTTCTCACAGTAAGAGATCAGACACTGCAGACAGGACTTACAGGCTCTCAGTTTCCTCCCAGTGCAGACATCTTCAGCTCCAGCATAGCCGTGATCAGCAGGAGCAGGTTGGCGTCCAGTCTTCTTCAGCTCCTCCACTAAAGCTGCTAACATGGTGTTTTTCAGCAGGACAGGCCTCGGTGTGAAGCTCTTTCTACACTGAGGGCAGCTGTATAGCTTTCCATCGCAGGAGCTTTGAATACAGTCCATGCAGTAGCTGTGTCCGCAGGGAATGGTCACCGGGTGCTTCAGTAGATCCAGACAGATCGTACAACAGATTATTTCTTGGTTGATCTGATTTCCTCGCTGTGCCATTTCACCTCTCAGTGACTGTTAGTAATTTTCTCTGAACAGAACCAATGTGTTCTCCGTCTGCTCTGGTTCACCTGCAGCAGTGAGTGAGGAATCAGCTGAACTTTAAGAGAGGCAGGGTGTGTTTTCTGTCCTTTACAACATGCCGTTAGCAAAGCCGTACTTCGACCTTTGACCGCCAGCTCACACGAGTCAGGCTTTAAACGGTTTTCAGAAGAGTTTTGGGACTTTTACAGAGAAACAAAACAATGGTGCTTCATCTGTTTCAATTCTACTTCCTATTGTGTATTCGCACAACAAAATCTGTAGACCTGTCCAAGAACTTCGAAAGTAGTCACCTCAGCAGATCCAGTCATTTTTGTCATATGGATGGTATATGTTTTAATTCGATTTAGTGCATGCCTTGTTGGGTTTATTTTGGGGTGTAACTTGTTGGCTGCAAGGGTCTCAGGACAGATTGTATGCTGTATAGTTTGTAAAGCCCCATAAGACAAATGTGTATGAAACTTTAGGAGAGTCCTGGAAGGGAGCAGCACTGAACTTTGATCCTTAGTAGATTCTAGTTGTATGAGTAAGATAAGTTGTTTATAACATGTGTTTACAATGGAGCGCATGTCTCTTTAAAGGTAGAACCTTACCCTTACCCTTCACAGTTATAAAAATGACTGAGTTGTTCTGTAACATGCCAAGTCAGTCAACCTATGCTAAGAAGCAAGCTCAGCCAGAAGTAAGGTGCTACCAGTGTAATGAGTTTGGCCATACGCAATACACATGCCCAGTGGCATGCCCTCCCTCATTTGCACTGTTCCCAGACCCACCAGGCAATCAGTGGTTAGGCAGGGAAAAGCATGTATAGTTCCGGTACTCATCAATGGTCAGCGTGAGGAAGCACTTGTGGATAGTGGCAGTTTCCAGACAGTTCTGAGGTCAAGTCTTGTTGTCAAGGATCAATGGGCCCATGATAAAGCTACCATCAGTTGCATCCACAGAGATGAAAAGCCTTACCCCACCGCCGAGGTCAATCGACTGTCGGACTAACTTTCTTCCTGTGGCACTACCACATAAACTTCCCTATTCAGTCATTTTAGGCCTTGATTTTCCAACGTTGCAAGAACAACCACCTCCAAGTGCCCTATCCGGTCCTACACCAGTTATTCCCTCTGATTCTGACTGCCCGTCTACACTACAGGCATCGAAAAATGCTTTCAGCGCTTCGCCCATTCATTTGAATGGGGTGACGTAGAAGATTTTTAAACTTCGCCGAACTGCATTGTGGGGAGCATGGCATGGCTTTGCAAGAATCACGAGCATCTATCGGCATCAAAAGTTGAACAATGTTCAACTTTTGAGGCTCGATGCTTGGCATCAGCCAATCAAATCCCGCGTATGCAAATCTGACAGTACAAGCGCTAGCCAATCAAACCGCGTGTATGCTGGGAGAGACTACGCAGGTCATTTCCTCATATTCAAAAAAATGGAGCGGTAGTGAATCACCCGGTGCTGTATGATCAGTCTCTGTTGTGTTCATCTACCGGGATACAAACCGGAGGAGCGAGGTATGGAGAGAGGTGGCAGAGACAGTGGATGAAACTGGTAGGTTTTCGCCTGTTTTTTATATCCAGTTTACTTCGTTTTAACATTGCTATTGCTTTGTATGCCGGGGGCGGGCGGGAGATTCCTGATTGGTTGTTGGTTGCCTTGGGCGCGAGAAATCGCCAAGCCTCAGACACGCCGAGCTTCAAGATTTTTTGATGCCTGTAGTGTAGACGGGCCGTGAGTGTGTAGATGCCCGGGGAGTCAGAACCCTGTGATGCTGAGTTAGAGGTAAGCTCAGACACCCAGATTAAGATGTGTAATGTCGCTACAAGGACGCAGACGACAGACGACAAAGGAGACCCTTAGTGTTGTCTCTGTGTCCACTTAACATCAATTCAAACACCATGACACAGTTCCATCAGATTAATGATAAAAACCTAGAGGACATTATACAACTTCTGAAATCCTCCTCCTGCTGCCTTGATATTATTCCAACAGGATTTTTCAAAGATGTTTTGCCTTGCATGGCCTCAGATCTACTTCATATAGTAAACACATCTCTTCACTCAGGTATTTTTCCACAGGCCCTGAAAACTGCAGTCATTAAACCGCTCTTAAAAAAGAATAATCTAGATGCTTCAGTAATGAACAATTACAGGCCCATATCTAACCTCCCATTTCTAGGTAAAATCATTGAAAAAGTTGTTTTTCAACAGTTGAGTAATTTCTTGCATTTAAATAACTGTTTCGATGTGTTCCAGTCAGGCTTTCGTCCAAACCACAGCACTGAGACTGCTCTTGGAAAGGTCTTTAATGACATCCACTTAAACACAGACAGTGGCAGAACTTCAGTGTTAGTATTATTAGATCTCAGTGCTGCGTTTGACACTGTTGACCACAGCATATTACTAGACCGACTGGAAAACTGGGTGGGACTTTCGGAAACAGTTCTAAATTGGTTTGAATCCTACTTAAAGGACAGAAACAACTTTGTTTCTATAGGTAAATACACATCTGAGTTGACAAATATGACATGTGGGGTACCTCAAGGCTCCATCTTGGGGCCTCTTCTCTTTAACATCTACATGCTACCACTGGCTCAGATAATGAAAATCAACAAAATAAGTTACCATAGCTATGCAGATGACACACAAATTTACGTAACAATTTCACCAGGAGACTATGCTCCAATTCAAACACTGAGCAAGTGCATTGAACAAATCAATGACTGGATGTGTCAGAACTTTCTCCAATTAAACAAAGATAAAACTGAGGTAATGGTTTTTGGAGCCAAGTCAGAACGTATAAAAGTTAGCGCTGAGCTTCAGTGTGCAATGTTCAAAACAACAGATAAAGCCAGAAATCTAGGTGTAGTCATGGACTCTGACCTGAGTTTCAACAGTCACATTAAAACAGTTACTAAATCAGCCTACTATCACCTAAAGAATATATCTAGGATTAAAAGACTAATGTCACAGCAGGATTTGGAAAAACTTGTCCATGCTTTTATCTTCAGTAGACTCGACTACTTTAATGGTGTCTTCACAGGTCTCACTAAAAAATCTATTAGGAAGCTGCAGCTGATTCAGAACGCCGCTGCTCGAGTCCTCACTAACACTAAGAAAGTGGATCACATCACTCCAGTTCTGAAGTCTTTACACTGGCTTCCTGTGTGTCAAAGAATAGATTTCAAAATACTGCTGCTGGTTTATAAAGCTTTGAATGGTTTAGGCCCAAAATACATTTCTGACCTCCTGCTAAATTATGAACCATCCAGATCTCTCAGGTCTTCAGGGACTGGTCAGCTTTCTGTCCCCAGAGTCAGAACTAAACATGGAGAAGCAGCGTTCAGTTATTATGCTCCAAATATCTGGAACAAACTCCCAGAAACCTGCAGGTCCGCTGCAACTCTGACTACTTTTAAATCCAGGCTGAAGACTTTTCTTTTTGTCGCTGCTTTTAATTGAACTATTCATATCTTAGACTGCACTGTAACTTTTATCCATGTACTTTTTCTTTTAATGTTTAATTGAACTATTTATATCTTAGACTGCACTGTAACTTTTATCCATGTATTTTTTCTTTTAATGTTTATTTTATTAGCTTTTCTTTTTAATGACTGATTTTAAATGCCATTTTCTTAATGTCTTTCATTTTTTGTAAAGCACTTTGAATTGCCTTGTGTTGAAAAGTGCTATATAAATAAACTTGCCTTGCCTTGCCTTAGTGAGCTACTATTTTATAACTTTGAGCTAAAGGCAAGTACACACAAGCAGCGCCTGTCCAAAGCCCAGAAGTGCAGGGACACGTTTTTGGCTGCTCCTAGGGAAAGCATTGAGCTTCCTGTACCTAGTCACCTGCTAGACATTCAGATTCCCCCTGATGTAGGTGAGTTGCAGAGGAAAGACCCTTCCCTTACACAGTGGTTTGAGAAAGTGTCAGAGGTTGATGGTGTAAAAACAGCAGATGCAGAATCTATGGAGATATGCTACTCACCTCATTAAACAGGGTATCTTGTACCGCCGTCAGGGTGAGATTGAAGGGTTAGCTTTACCCCAGTCACTCCGAAGCAGACTAATGGAACTAGGCCACTAATGGCGCGTTTCCACTGCAGGCCTCGCTCGGTTTGGTTAGGCCTTATTAGGCCCGGCTCACTTTAATGCTGCGCTTCCATTACAGTTTAGGAACTGGGGAAGTTACTATAGTAACGCAGTGTAGGCGGAGCCGTGACGTCATCTTCAATGAGCGCCCCAAAAAACAACACAGCCGTTAGCTGTTAGCACTCAGAGCTCACAGCTCTTCATATCTGTTCAGAAACTAAACAAAAGTTAAACAAGTACAAACCACAGACTGCCTGTGTCATGGAGAATACAGTCGCTGCTTTATTTATGTCTGTATAGGCCGTTGTTGTGAGTGTGGACGGTCGGAGCATATATAACGTTAGCTTAGCCAAGCTCCATTTAGAAAACACGCATTTTAAAGGGTGTTTCGCCTGCCGTCTGTCTGCAGACTTGTCAAAGCATTAATTCATGGTTTTTACTAACCGGTATCAGTATGTTGTTACTTCGGCATCATTTTGAAACGTGTATGACAATTAAGTCAAATATGTTCATGTTGTTGTAGTTGTAGCCCCCTTGCCAGCGATTCTCTCTCTAGTTTAGCATACTCAGCCCGACTCAGCCTGGTTGTTCCTGGCCCTAGAACCACGATTTAGTCGGGCCAGAAAAAAGGTGAAAAAGTAGCCCCGGGCCAAAACTAGGCCAAGTAGAAACGCAACCAAAAACGGGCCCCGCACGGCTCGGCACGCTTAAAGCGAGCTACCCGCTGCAGTGGAAACGCGCCATTAGTTCCTTGGGCAGGGCATTTAATAAAACACTGCGTAGAGTGGGTAGTCGTTTTGCCTGGCCAGGCCTGTACACCCAGCTTTCCCAGTTTTGTAATGCCTGTGAGACCAGATCACGTCCAGACAAAGGGTAGCTAAA